ATAGTATAATGTGCAATGGGAGACTGGTTGAGAAATGGGTCGGAGCAATGGAGTGACRCTTTCTGTGCTGACGTGCAGAATTATTTTTTGTAATTGCGAATTGCCCAATTTAATTTGGAAAAAAATCAAGTAGATTTCTGCTTTAAACATGAGGACTGGCATGTCTTTTTAATATATGTGTTTAATAGGTGTATGAGTAGTAAACATAAGGGCACAGTAGATATTTCCTAGGTGAATACTAAAAACAAATACAACAGAGTGATTTGAGTGGAAGTACTGCGAAAAGTAGCTTTTAACTGCACAACATTCAAACGGGTTGCTGCACATAATGCACGGGGCAAAGGAGTTCTCCTGTAGGAAGACTCCTTGGGCTGCGGGGTTCGGAGTGGCTCTGGGTGCCGAAGCAAGGAGCTTTCAGGAACATTGGCCTGGAGCTGCCGGGCAGTGAACTCCTGCTGCTCGGTCCAGCTGCACACGGCTGCGCCGTGATGGGCAATTACTGGCTCAGATTTAACAGCTTCAAGGGCTGTTGGCTTGTAAGATACCTTTGTGCTGTGCTGTATTTAGCCCATTTTCTTCTGCTCTCGCTTGGCAAGAAGCTGCCTTTTGAAACAGTTGAAGTTTAGTTGTATCAAACTAGATGTTATTTATTTATTTCCATTCCTACTTTGGACAACTTTGATAGGATAGTAAGGGGTTTTAATGCAGAGTTTTACAATAAATTGAAAGACTTAACGTTCGTTTAAGTAAAGCAGTTCTGAATGTGTTGCATTTGGCTCAATAAGATCCTCTGTACTAAATCTACAGTTCCCTGGAAATTCCTTGTGTGCAGAGGAGAGCCCGGTGCTGCCCAGGCCTTCATGGGCAGCTGTTCCAGTTCCAGTGAAGGGCTCTGATTTGTCAGTCCTGATGCAGGCTGCAGAACTTGACCAACTCCCAATCACCCAGAGCAGGATTTTTAAGTGGAAAAGAACCCACATCCTTCTATTTTTACTGTGATAATTTGCATAGAATTTTTTTTGTAGTTTATACATATTCTGACTAGTTTATTTTCTTTGGATTTAGACAACCTGATGAGATACCATCTGTTAACACAGTTTTATTTTTTCTTTTCATATAATTGGTTAATCTAGCAATCAGCATGATGGCTTGATACAGTGAATGTAATTCATAGATCACATCACACAAATGTCAAGCTCTGTGTGCTGGTTACAAGATTAGTATTAGCAATATTCTTATTTTGCCATTCTGGAATTCTTTTACTTGCTGCCACAGTTGATTCCCTTCTAAATAATATCCTGACCAATTTTAAAATGTAATTGTATTGCTATTCTTTTTAAATCAGTAACATTTAAGTACATAAATAACATCCTGCCAAATTTTAAAATGTAATTGTATTACTATTTTTTTTAAATCAGTAACATTTAAGTACATAAAAGCAGGGTGGTGATATACAAACCTTCAACTGAGAAATTCTTAGTCATTTCATAAGTAACTGGTGTGTTATATAGATCCCTTTTGAGCATCAGTATGATTAAGCAGTGCCTACAAGAGGGAGTAACTAGTGCAGGAAGAGTTCGGGAGGAGCTGGCAGTTGTTTTTCCTGTTATTGTAATCTGTAGCAGTGTATTCCAGTATTCCCTGGACTAGGAATGAGTTTTGTCTTGCAAATGCGAGGTYCTTGCACTGCCGGCAAGCAGTACTTAGCTGTGATTAGTGCTGAATATTACTGCTAATAAAGCAAAGCTTTTTTTCTTCTGCCTTACAGCTGTTATCTTTTTTGTAATGAAAGGAAGATGCAATGAAAAACAGGGCTCCTTTTTTAAGGGGTGCAGAGGTGCCTCTGTGTAACACAGTTATAACAGCCCAGAAGAGTGAAGACATTTGCTTGTGGTGCTGCTATGTGCAGGAGTTAATCGAATGGAAGAAATAGGGCCTGTATTTCCAAAGTGTTAGACACGATTTCTGGAAGGCTGTAATTTGCAAATTGATTTTACTCCTTGCCAATTATGGAAATATAAAATCTGACATTTGGAAGCAGGACTGTTGGGATTGCTGTAGATGGAGGCTTGTTTCAGAGCTGCCCTTCTGCTCRCAACAAACCCCTTCCAGGATGACTGCTGCTCTTGGAGTGGAGCAGCACTGGAGTGGAGGGAGACCGAAGGGACACCGGCTTCCTGGGCGCTCATTTGACCTTTGTGAACACTCTGTGCTGCACTAACTCTTWATTTTGGAGACTAAAATGAACTAARTCAGTGACCTAATTGAACTTCTAGCTATCTGTTTAATCTCTGTTGACTGTATTTACMCACCTGTGCACACACGTGGTCAATGTCGACCTTCCTCCTTCGTGGGGAACCATAATTCAGATAAATTTGCAAGTATTTAGTGGTGTTGCTGTCAAAAGTTGTTGCCTGAGTGCTGGTACCCCATGTATGAATGTCCTCACTTTGGTAGTATTTGGAAAATGTGTGTGTCATCAACAGCCTAATGAAGCTGGCTGTAGTTGGACTGCATTCAAACACGCAGATAGGAAGAACAATTTCCCACTGATAGCTCTTCATGAAGGGTCTGTAACTTTTTTCTCAACTTGTATTTTTTTGTTATCTTTCAGTCAGTAAAACATAGTTTTGTATTTAAAGGACATTTATCAGGAATCTGAACTTTGAACTTACACTTTTTCAGTTGAGCTTTAAAAAGCTATGCGGAAAACAGGGTGTTCACGGACTGGTTGAGGAGTAGACCTTTGTGTCCTCCTCAAGGGCAGGGACATACATACCTATATGTAAGACAGCCGCGCAGATAAGCGGCTGGGAGCAGGTTCTGCCTGGTTGGTTTCTGCATCCGATTTTATTCTGCTGCTGAAAGTCTGCCAAAGTCCTAACGAAGAGAGAAGGAGGACATATTAGAGGTGCTGAAATAAAATGTTACAGCAACTAGAGTTATGCTGGCTTGTTTTTATTAAAAATTTTTATCTCCTGAATGACCACTGCACTAATATTTAGATCCTTTCTAACACCAGATCTACAAAGTCTCAAGTATTTTTTTCTAAACATGCTCTTTTTGGTGGTGGCTGAGTTGGCTCATTGCTCTGTCCTTCAAGAGCAGTTGTTAGCTTGTGACATTTCCGTATCACCATTTACTAATRAAGTGGGAAGTAGGCTTAAGAATGTCTAAGGATTCCAAAGTCCGTGTGAGGCAATGCAGGAAAAGCCATAAGAAAGTAATTTGAGGATCTGGATTGCAAACTGCAGCAAAAACAGTTCGGCAGAGAGCTAACCTTTTAATAGAGAGATGTTGCAGTAATTTCAGGATATTTTTCTTGTGTGACATGGTAACATCCGGAGAACCGGCCATGTTCCTCATAACGTAGAGGAGACACTTGCTCTTAGTGGTTGTGTGACACCTCACCAAAGTACCAATTGACAGAGGCATTTTAAAAGACAATGATAGGTTTGTGAAGAAAAGCAGCTTTGGTTATATCCAGAAATAAACACAGATGTTTTGCAACTACAGCCATTACGGCAGCTGCGCTCAGAGGTCAGACGCATCAGAAAGCCGCCCCCTACAACCGTGTGGAGTGCGCTCAGTGCGACGCACAGAGCGGTGAAGAGGAGGGGGCCTGGCCGCGAGCCGAGCGCGGGTGAATGGCCGGGCTGTTCCGCAGGGGTTAGTGCCGGCGCTGGCAGCGCGTGCCCGGGATAATCGGCAGCTGTGGGCGCCGGGAGCGTATGGGGCAAGGAGTGGGACACCCCGGGCTTTYGGACGTCAACTTCTGTGCCTTGTTAGAAGGAGCCGATGCGCCTCAGGGTATGGATGAAATGGAAGTTGCAAGTTTGTCCTATGCTAAATATAATTTTGTTATAAATAACATGAATTGTGTGTCAGCACTCCTGAAATCTTGAGGATTATCTTYGGAGATTCAGAACCACAAGGGAAGGGGGGTGAGGAATGATAACCTGATTTGCTAACTGAATAAATTTCAACCTAAACCCAGAGATCAACATGAAATAAAGTAAAACCATTTTGTTAAAAATCTCTTTGGTCTGTTACTTCATTTAAAAATATTTGATTTCACATAGCTTTAGAATTAGTTTTTATCCTAGAATAAAAGAAACAGTAAAATGTTTTATTCTTCGGTCCTAAGGTATTAGGACCCGTTTTCAAAGCCTTTTCCTTCTCTTCAAATCTTCCTAACTGCTTGGCAGGAGGAAAGACCAGGCCATGTGGGGCATGTCCTGACAAATCCTCCATCAGAGAAGAGTGTCTCTGCTGGTTGTTGCAGACTTTCTGGTGGGACGACAACTCCTTTTCCCTGAGACTGTTTATGACAGAGGGATTCACAACCGTCCCTTATTCCAAGAAGTTTTGGAGCTCCTTTTTCCTTAAGATGGGGCAAAAGAAAAACATAGGGTTTGTTTTCAACATCCAGGCTCTTGTGGTTTGCTGTTGGCATTTTCTTTCCTGCTTGGCAGGCTCATTTGGACCCTTGCTTAGAGGGACAAGTTACACCTTAGCAATGTGAGGAGCTACTGAAGCGTTTTGAATCATGAAAGCCTGTCACTTGAGTATGTGAATGAGTGCTAGAAGGAAGGAAGAAGCTGTCAGCAGAAGGGAGCCTTCCAAGCTTGAGGATTCCCCTTTCCTCACTAGGATAGGGACCGTAGAAGAGGTTAAAAACAAGCAAATGAATTCAGCATGTTTAGAAAGGCACCATTGCATTGGCCATTCAAAATATGCCAGTGYTGGCGCCGTTCCTGGCTAGCTCAATGAGCAGTGCATGCACAATCACACACTCCTTTTAACTAGCAACTTATTAAGCTGCATAGCTTGAGGAGCCTGAGTTTTGATTGCCTTGGCTCTAGTATCTCTTTCCCTCAAAGACCACGTATTCCATAAATCCAAGTCTATATGAACATCTTATTTGGATTGGAAAGTAAGGTCACTGTTTCTTAAGAAGAGAGCTGGAAYGTGAAAGCATTGGAAGTCAGCATTTTAGAAGCTTATAGTATACTAAGTAAGTTGTGAACAAATACATTCCTGAGTTACTTATGAGCTATAGAGCTATAAGCACAGGCACCAAGGCATGTGAAATGAGGTTGGCATTTCTGCTCATGTGTCTGGAGAGGTGCCCATTGGAAGAACTGGGTATTTTTCTCATATAGATGCACATCAAATAGCTGCAGAAAAGTATCCATTCACCAGATGCACTCTGATTTTATTTATATATATATATATATATATAAAATATTTATATATATGTGCTATTAGTGTAGGATCAGTTTTGAATCTTTTTCATCATTTTTCTTACAGGAAATATTGGATAGCCCCCATGATGGATGACGGGAAGCCCGTTTGGGCTCCACACCCAACTGATGGGTTTCAGATGGGAATGATTGTGGACATTGGCACTGACAACTTAACTATCGAGCCTTTGAATCAAAAAGGCAAGGTAAGTGTCTTGTGAGGATGGAGAGAAACGTGAGAGAGAACTAGGAGGGAAACTAACACTGAATTTGAGCTAGATCTCAGRCTGAGTTTCTGAATTCTTCACTTTTTAAAATAAACAAGAATGCTCCTATTTTACCTAATTCAGCTTAAGCATCCCAATTCTCCAAAAGATTTGATTTATTAAGTATGAAAAGAAAACCTATTGTAGATATGCTRTGAGAGAACCAATAACAGAAGAAAAATCAATGAAACATTTAAAATGGAGTCCTGATCCTTCCTTATTAGTGTGTTCAAGCTGCCTCATTTATCGTGGCATCTTTCATGTTCAGTGTCTTTCTTAAATGTCAGTTTGCTGCAGGAAATGCCTTTTACCTATCAATTATGCCAATTTGTATGGTAAGTACCCTGGGTTTTACTGCCAGGAATAAGGTCAAATGGTGTGCTTAAGTAGCTGTTGGTTTGGTGTTTATAAATATCATTTAAAATACGTGTTGTTTCTAATAATTTTGTCCTTCATGCAGCCTCAGTTACGAAGTGAGCAAATGCCTCTGGTAACTTGTCTTTCATGCTGATATTAATAGAGAATGCCTTGTCACGAGTCAGGAGGTTATGAAGCAGTTCTTCCTTTCGGGGAGAATATTTATAGACCTTTTTATTATTATTTTAACCTTGAATAGAAGTTAGTTTTCTTTTGTTAGAAATACGGATTGATCATGTGTCTGGTAAAGTCTGTAGATTTAGCACTATTGGGCATTCTTCAGTGGGGAGAAGGACAAAATCATTCAGACAAGAGTATATGAAACATTGAAACATTAAACACTGAAGAACAAACAGGCAGTAAAGAGACTCTTCTGTTTCTAATATCTGCTTTCTTGGCCTCTCTTTCCAAAACCAAAAATGATCACTAGTTAGAACCATTGAAAATATAACCTTGTCCCTGAAGAAGTTTCTGCTTTTTTAGCTTGGGCATGCAGTCTCCAGAACAATGAAATGGATAACATCATCCTATGGTGTGTGCATTTGTCCCAAGTAAAGTTCAACCACTTGCCATATAACTGGGATGTCTCTGGTTAGGGGTTCCCTGTGGAAAGTGGAGCACTTCAAATCATATTATATAGGTGGTACTACATTATGTATCAGAGTTTGTGCTCTTGTGGTGGGACTGTTGTTTGAATCTTGATTYTGCTTTTAATTTTCAAAACTGAAGGTACAGCAAGAAAAAAGCTTTATCTCTGTGCCAATCTTATATTTTGAGCTCTTGTTAAAGGATATGAATTCTGCTTCTAAGCCCCTACTATTTCAGAGAATACTAGAACTCKTGCTCATGTGAGAAGTAGTCTATTTCTAATACTTAAGCTTGTTGAGGATTTGAAATGCATTCCTTTTGGAAAGAGCTATCAAGAAGCAATAGGAACMTTTTGCTTTGTGGTTCACAATGAATGATCCCTGTTATTTAGAGATAGTTACTCTGATGTTGACTGTTTTCCTGCACTAAGCAAAATAGCACAGTGTGTAGTGTTCATTCATCTAAGGGAATTAACAGACATTTAAATTCCATAGAGATTATGGATCCATGTTTATAATAATGAAACTTCCTGCTAATAATACAGGTGGAGTAAAAACACCTTCTCAGTCTTTTCAAGGTGCTTATTTTCTTTTACAGCGAGAAGTTTCTTTATTGCTTTTTATTGTTATAAGAAGTCCCTGTTCTTTTTGTGCATTTAGACCATTAATTTGTATTAAACATCAGTACATGCTGTTAACAACTTTGTCTACTTGAAATGATAGTTCAAAAGTGCTCTTTGGGAAGGGGTAGTGATCCAGCAGCTCTGGGTTGCTCATGATAATTGCAGGGAGCAGATGAGCAACCTGATCTTGTCAACATACCAAGGCAGCAAAGCTTATTATTATTTTTTAATCCGGGTTGTGAATGTGTCATATTTATTCTCTGTGGAAGCTGGTAGCTTACCAGAGATCAGGAACTGAAAGGTAAATGGCTCTGTGTGTAGCTAACTCTTGGCGTTTATCCCACTCAATATATGTTGTTAATAGCTGCAATAAATGTTGCAAGACAGTGGTTAGAGGCTGTTAAAATCTGCCCTCCCTTCCTCAGCCGTAGCTGGTTGTGTCATTGCAGAGCAGCCCCTCTCTGCTGCGCCGGCAGAATAACTTGTACCACAGCAAAGGGGGGCAGCGGAGGGATCCACCCTAAAAAGGGTCAGGTTGAAGGTTGTGTGGATGGCAATAAGCCGTGAAGGAGGTGGCAATATCTGGAGCTGCTGTGGCCGCAGATTGCTTTCTATTACGAAATGAGGTTCATCAGTCCATCCTTGAAGGGAGTTGGCCCACGCACTGCTCGACTCATCAAGCAGCAGCGGCAGCTTTGGGCACCACAGCCCCAACAGGGTTCACAGCAGCCCTTACATTTCAGGGCCAAAGCTGGATGTGCGGAAAGGTGAGAATCTGAGTCACTGAGGTGGCGTTGYCCAAGAAAGGGCAATCCAAAGATCCAAAGTGCAAGAACTTTGTTATATGAGCAGAGGATGCAGGTGTCCTGGATGATGGGAGTTACTCCATGGAAGCTGGATCATTGGTTTCAGAGCTGGTCAATTGCCACAGCTGGAAACAAAATAGAACAGTTTTCTGTCTGTAGGGTGGTGCTGGAGGGTGGTAAAGTGWCGAGGGACGGATGCCTTTCAGGGACCCTTATGGCCCTGAGGAAGGAGGGAACAGGGGTAGGCACTTTCCAGAGCCGAAGCGATGCATTTGGAGCAGTGTCGGGCAGGCCCCTGTCGCTGCAGGCACCAGGGAGCTCCTCCTGGAGCCAACTGGGAGGCCTGGGGCTCRGAGGGAGCGGTGCCGCGTCCTCCAGAGCCCTGTGGAGCAGCTGCTGGAGCGTCCTGTGAACAACCACAAAGGTATTTGCCAGAGTTAGGCATAAATGAATATGTGCATTGGACAAAGAGGGATCGGAAAGTCCAAAGTTCAGTGTTTCAAGCYAAGAGGTGGCTTTAGCAGTGAGCACAGCTTACTGGGGCAAGCAAGACGTGTTCGTGTCCCTCCTGTAAACTCTTTGTGTTGCCTTAGGCTGTGTGGTGAAACAGAGCTGAGAGCAGGGATGTCTGCGTGTCGGTTTGCTGAAAGGTATAAAGGAAGGCATGGTTACACGTATTGGATTACGTGGTAGAAAGAAGATCCTGCTTGAATGGAAAGGTATCTTTTTTCACTCATCTCGTTTCTGGGAGAGTAGTTAAGATTGTCACTGCMTTTCAAGGGTGCATTTGTGTTTTGGGAGGGGAAAACACAAGAGCAAACCAAACCAACCCCCTCTGTTTTGTCTGCTGAGATGACATCAGTGTTTCGTAAGCTGAATATCCTCACCATATTTTTAGAAGAAGTTTGTCCTAAGCCAGGACAAAAGTCCTTGACTAAATGCAAGAAATGTTTTCTTGAGAGAAGCTATGTCCTTAAATCAAAAGCTCTTTTGTTTTTGTTTAAGGATCATGCAGTAAAAAAATTGGGAAGGATATTTTTATAATTTTAGACCTGGGACAGCTTGACCATTTCTCTAAGTATAAGATTTTAATAATAGGTGTTAATATTCAGACTTCTGCACATAATGATAACTCACAATAATTTAACACTCTTAAGCATAATGCAGTAGAGCAGCTGTGATTAAAAAAATTCTTCCTTGGCAAAGTTGAAGCAAGACTTTATGTTCTGGTCTGGTCTAAAAATCTGATCTAGACTGAAATATCAAAAAAACAAAAGCAATACTGGTAAGTCTTTTTTGTATTGCTTTTGATTTGATGCATCACTTCTGAGATACTTTAATACAGTAAAATAATGAATTACAGACTGCTGGAAGGATTTGCAGAAGCAAACCTAGTTTGCCACAATCTGACTCKCCCTGGCACATAATTAATAATACAACTTTCGACAGGTATTTTGCAACTTATATTGGGTGCAAAAATGAAAGAGGACTCATATTTTAATGAAACAATAATGAATTTATCTGTTGCATCAAAAGACTGAGAGATAAAGACACTGAAAAAAATGTTCTTTTTCGTACATAGATCTCTTTTTTTGTACATAAATCTGCAACAATCCCTGTTGTATTTACACTTGGGCTGCACTTCAGTGGACAGGAACTACAAGTGAAGTTACACTTTTGGGAAGTCAGTAATGCTATTTTTTAAGCTTTTGCTGGTTTGGGCAGAATGAATTAAGTATATGAGAAACTGTATTAAAATACTTCTGTATTCAATGTAATATACGTTATYACTGACAATTTTGCAAAAAAAAGTTCCGAAAACTAACATATCTGAACTGCAGCATTTTGAGAGGGAGGAGATTCTACGCTGTGCTGGAAGTTAGCCACTAGCAACATCTGGGGGTAGGTAAAGACTTCTGGATCCTCCTTGGCTTAGTCACATTCTGATAAAAGGTATTTTGAAGATAGTTGCCTCATCAACATTCAAAGGCATTACAGAGCAATTGTGCAGCTTCTTTTGCCTTCACACAGCTTTTGTGTATTTTTTTTTCCCTACAATAAATTAATAAATCCCAATAAGAGGTAAAAGCGAAATTATTAGGGCTAGAAAGTACGTAAACCATGGGTAATCTGGTGGGCGGGGATATAGTAGACTTGCTGCTTTCTGACTGGCAGCAATTAGCCTGTCTCAGATACATTTTTAAACCTTGCCACTTTGAAATAAGTTGGAATTAGCAACTCTTTATGACAGTATAAGTTGTAAGGCCACATACGTTGTTTCTGTTGTATTGAAACAATGTAAAAATGAGTTTTGTGTTTTCCTAAACTCTTATGAGATATTCCTCCTAGAACTGTCTTGCTGAGTACAGTTTCAAGCTTGTTCATATCTTAAGGTCACTTTCTTGGATCTCTTTTTTTTTATCTTTGGAAAATTAGATGGAGCAGATTAGACTTACATTTCCTTCATTTCCACGTAGAAAAGGAGGCTGCGCTTGTAGCAGCTTGCTGGCTGTAATATTTAATTGGTACAACAGGGTTTTTGTTAATTCATAGTAAACTGCTGTAAACAAAAACATGCAATTAAAAATCCACCTCACAATATGTATTTTTATGCAGATGCTGCAAAACATGTAGTCTCGTGTGCTTTTCCTGCCTTTTGAAAGCAATATAAATTATGATTTCTGGAGAACAAAAGAGAGACAACGTTGCTTTTGTCATTAATTTGTCCAGTGGGACTTGAATACTTGATAAATGGCTTTTTTTGTGCAACTGGAGCACAGCAGTTGAAGGAAGTTCTTGTTCTCCATTAATACTGATTGGGTGGGTAGGAGGGTAGCAAGCAGCAACCCAAAGCTACAGTATTTGAGTACAGAGGACTGTATTATGTATCAAATGTTTTTGCTTAAATGTTCATGTTTTAAACAAAAATATGTTAATGATAGTGCAATCCTTGTACTGAACTAATACATTCTTTTTTATTCATTGAGCTCCTTTGCAAATTCAAGGAAAAAACATAAATGGCTCCAATAAATTACAGTATTTTTTAAATAATCCTTTTTTTTTTTTTTTTTTTTTTTTTTTTTTTTTTTTTTTTTTTTTTTTTTTTTTGGTGTGTGTGTCAATATGTGCAATTTTGGGAATAAGTGAAAAGTAGTAATAAATAAGTGGAAAGTATTATTGCTGTGGCAACTGCAGCAGCTCCTGTAAGTTTTCAGTAACTCTGTAAAATTTGCAATGCTGAATTATATATGTGGCAGCTTGAACCATGCACAGTCACAGCACACTTACTTGCAACGTGTTATAGAACATCTTTGAACTATATTCCTATTACTATGCGATGCTGAAAATGTTAATGTATTTCATCTAACAGACTTTCCAGGCTGCTATCAGTCAAGTGTTTCCTGCAGAAGAGGACAGTAAAAAGGATGTGGAAGATAACTGTGAGTTACGCACTTAAATGCTACATATTTATTTGAAAATGAATCATGCTCAGGAGAGAATATGTAGCTTCCTTACCAGCTTGCTCTTTCTTCCTTGCAATCTTTTCATTTTGTTCCTTTGCTTGAATTTGTGTATGACCTTTACCAGTCCATTAAAACCTCTTAAAATAAGCCCGTGTTGAAGAACTTGTGCATGTCATTTATTGTGGCCTTTTTCATTTTCAAATGAACATTTCAAGGGAACTCACGGCTGCGTCATTCCTACATACAACTAACTGCTCTTTGATTTACTTCAGATCTACATCAGATGTTGCTAACTACAACATGATCAACTGCGTGCAGCATTATGGAACTGACTACATCTTTTGTAGTGCAGCAAAAGAATTAGTTGTTTTATCAGGAACAGAACGATACTGTATTTCTCTGCATGTAGCCTACTTTTTGGAGAGGGGTGGAGGAGTTTAGAGATGATATAACCTGCATTCTTGTTGACTTGAAGTTTTTTTTATTTTGTTAAATATTCTATGGATGAAATTTGTGAAAACAATTATAATAATCAAGCATGAGGAGAGAGAGTACCATAAAGGAGGAATAAACTAGCAGCAGTTTTTGGACAACTGTTAAATTTTTTTGCTGTTTTAGTTTTGTGTGAACAAATCTGTTAACAGAGATTCCCATATCTTGAAAATCTTATTCGGAAAGCTGTCTTTCCCATTTCCTGTGGGATTTATTTGCTAGGCAAATATTGATTACCTTCTAAATGATGGGCAATAGTAGCTTCTATTTGTTATTTGTTTAAAATAAATAGAGCATAGGACATTCAAAGTTGTTTAGATGATTTAAGGACCACAGCTCCGTTTGTGGAATAGGGTACAGGATTTATGTCCCGTGACAGGAAGTGCAGCTGCTATAGCTGCTCTGTAACGAACAGGAAAATGAGATCTGGAGCTTATGATCTGATTTGGATGGATAAGAACCAAAGGGAGGTCTTTTCTAGCTGATAAACTCTGTCCAGTTGTTTATATTTTTGCAAAAAAATACATAGATTGAAATGTTTTATCTGTACAGGGCATTTGTTAGGGGAAATGCATTGAATTTGTGTATCTGTCAAAATGTTTTTGCCATGATGTCCTAGCACCTCACTGTCTTGACAGGGAATTCAAATTTTTAGGAAGATTATGGGAATAATTAGGTATTTCAGAAAAGCAGCATTCAATTAAGCTTCATAAAATTTTTATTTACCTTCCTGGCTAAAATATAAAATTTAAAAATGTTTTCAGCCACCAACCTTTCTGATGAAATACTACTTTTGACCTTTAATATTTTCCCACTTTATGAACAATAGTTGAGGGACATCTCTAGATTGAGTAAAACCAAGCTTCTCTTCTCTGCCAGAGGAGGTTTGTATTGGAATCATTGATTCTGGAGGAGAACAGAGTAACAGCAATCGCTAGGAAATTTTATAAAATACTATAAAGAGGGACTGAAAACACATAGTGCTGTTCTAAAAAAAAATACTGAAAAGCTAGTTAATATGCTTACCATTCTAGCTCATGCTTCATGATTAACTGCCTTTTTGTGAGCAATTCAATGAAGTGTGTGTATGCGTATACATGTATACATGTATATATATACATATAACTGTTTTATTTTCATTCTTAATCTTCTGCTATGCCTCATGCCTGTAGCCTTTTTAAGAGTCTAGCTCTTCCACAAAAAGCAATTTTCATTAAATATTGCCAGCCGTCCTGAGGCAAAAGCAAAGCATTTAACTTCCCTCTTATTCAGTCTTCTAAGTTGTTGGGGGCTGTTAATGTATTCTCGTAACCAGAATGAAACTGGGAATATGCTCTTGTGCTGAGAACAGCCTGCTGTGAAACTTTGACAACTAATTTACTGGTCACATATATAAAATGCAACAACTTGCATCCACTGCCCAAATCTCTCTGCTCAGGAAGATTTTTAAGGGCTTTTGTTTGTTTATTTTCTGCTAATTTGAGCATAGCTCAAGGCAATCCTGCAACATTAGCCTTTAGATTGTCTTAGTTTTGTATACATAGTTTGATTAGATTAAGGACAAATGTAAATTTTTTTATTTTCTAAGGGCCAAGGGAAAAAAAATAATTTTGAGATAAACCAAGTTAAAAAAAATGATGGAGAGACTATATCAGATGGGGGTCTTAAAAATGAGTTGAACAGATGCTGAGCCTTGTATAGAGGATTAAAAAAATAAAAAGCAAAACTGTACCACGTTGCTTCACTGGATGCACAAGGAAGCCTGAGTATCTCTGACATCGATATTTCCCAGCTTCACCTCTGTGAACTTGGCCCACGTGTGTAAATCAATATATGGACTGTAAATGCACCTTGTTTGGCTACACTGGGAATGAGCCCTATGAAAACTCAGGGAGTTCTCTCCGTGGTGGCCTCCTTTGCACCTGGATGTTGGTGCCGCGTCYGAGGGGTTTGTCCCAGAGGGGATGGGGTTGGAAGCCAGTGTCGAGAGCCGCAGTTTGCCCGGCCTGGGCCAAGGGGGCAGCTCTCCCTGCAGGAACAGGCTCCCGTTACGCACCACGTCCGCAGGTCCAGATCCTTTAATGAGGACTGGAATCCTTTTGCTAAGAGAATATTGTGGGCATATCAAAGCCTGGCGTCATTTTTTGTTTGGATGGGGATTAAGTTTTTATTAGGATGCTTACCTCATCCTTACTTCTACTGAAATATAGTGAGGAAAAAAAAACCTGAGAAGTTCCTGTAAAGATGCAGCCAAGAGAGAGGGTTGTTCCTTTCAAATTTTAAGTGTGTGTAAAGCTACTGTGTAAACTACTTCCTTAACCAGAGAGAACCAAAAAGACTTCATAAATTAGTGAATGTCAAAATTTAGACCCCCTCTGCCCCAAAGAAGATGTTCATAAGATCAGAAGGAGATTTAATTTTCTTTAGCACAAGCAGAAGTTTCTGATCCTGGCTCATTTCCTTTTCATGGCTTTTCCTCTTGGGTTGCCCTCCTTAGAAGGGGCGCMGGGGAAACGAGGTCGGGCAGAGGAGCCGCCTGGGCCGTGAGCACCTCTGGGGCTGCTGGCCAGGAGGGAGGCGCGGGCTGCCCTGGCCCTGGGGAGGCTGCGCTCGTCTGGGGAGGCTGCGTCGAGCTGCGCGCGGGCCCAAGGGCTGCTTCTGGGGTTSGGGGATGCGGCCGTGCTGCTGCATGAGGACGAGGTACCGCTGAAAGAGAAAACAYGAGTGCCCTTGAAAAGTCTTCCCCATACACATAGGACTTTGATCCCTATGTGTTGAATTCAGGAAGAGCAGTAACTCCCTACGCTTGGGYTACTGTAGATTGGAGATCTACAGTAACAGTTTATGACCCTTTTATGAGGCAGGAAATTGGAGCCATCACTAAAAGCACAGCACTGCTTGTGTGTTTGTGCTTTTTGTTTTGTCTTGTTTTGTTTTCTCGTCCTGCCAAATACTTCAGGGTTTATCTGTATGTTAGTTCATTGTAATGAGTTTAAAAAAAAAAAAAGAGCAGGGGGTGCTGTGCATTAGAATTTCAAATGGTTAGAAAGAGGATTAAACATATTTGAAAACTGAGGCAGGGGAATAAGTAGTGCCCTCAGTAGGTTTAGGAATAATGTTTTTAATATTGTTACAGTGGGAACTGGCACTGACCTCTGTAGTTAAGGCTACTTTGCACTTTCCAGGGCTATAGCTGAAAACAAGGACTAGCTTTGGCAGAATGTTAATCCACGAGATCTGGACCTTTCTGTACATGTTTGCTCTGCCTTGAGTGGCATTTTCTAACATTTCAGCAATGATAGTTCAGTTATTTTACATTAACAAGCTTAAAAATAGCTATTGTGTCATTGTATTAACTTTTGAGGGGACTGCCCGGTTTCTTTGAAGAGGAACAATGTTCAGAAATGAGCCTTGAAAGGCTGCAGTGATCCCTAGTGTCAGAACTGGCACCTGTAGCTGCCTCTAGAAAATTCTAACTGATGGAATCAGCAACACAAGCACCAAAAGCTGCCCAGGAGCAGGCGGTTGGGGGCAGGACACGTGGGCATCACTGCAGAGACTGCAGAGCTGAGAGGAGAGAAGAGCCTTAGAGACCTGGATGAGYGCGGAAGGACACATCCGCGCTCATCCAGGAAGCGCAGATGAAGTTCCAGCCAAGAACTTCCGTGCTCGGCTGGAAGTTCTTCAAAGGCTTCAGATTTCCCTCTTTGACGCGGTCTATGCTGAGACCCCGTCGTCTAGCTCTGTGTTCAACAACTTTATCTTTACTGTTCTACAACACACAGGGTAAAATTTTTTTAAATATATTTTAATTTGGCAGTTAGGCTTTAAGAGAGCATGAAGGAATGATAAGCTCAAGCTCTAGCCATAAAGAGAGAAGCAAAACTCTCCTTAAATTTTAGTATCCTGGCTGTACACTAAGGGTAGTCCAGAGTTCCTAACTATCTGTGTTTGTCTCTTAATTGCAGGTTCCCTTATGTACTTAAATGAAGCCACTCTCCTTCACAATATCAAAGTTCGGTACAGTAAAGACAGAATTTATGTAAGTATTGAATATCATATCAAATCATCTGATGGTAAATATCATTTAAAAACAATCATTAAAAAAAATCTTTCAGTCTTTTTGTTCTATCACAGTAAGTAGAAATGTCGGCTCTGGAACTTAGGAAATATAAGACATTTTTGGAACGTTGTACTTTTGTTGGGATTCTGGATCAAGTCAATGCTGGCTGATTTTTACCAGGCAGGGAAATAGATTTTTCTGTACACGACTGTTCAGCTGTGGCTGGAGTGTCTCACAAGAGTGTGTTCCAGGAGAAAGGCTGTTAGCAAGAGGGTTCCCTTTCCTCATTATTTTTGAACGAAGCAAACAGGTGCCTCCTCTGACACCTCCAAGCTCAGATGTCCAGCTTAATCTTTTATATTGCTATCAAATTGCCTAATTGTACTTAATGAATTCTGCCTAAATTACATTTTGTCCTTGCCATCTGCCCCGACACTGACAGCTGTGAAATAGAAGAAAGATAAGTTTTCCTTTTTATTTTTTTCTTAATAGAAGACTGGCTACTGACAATAAATGCTGGTTTTCACTTTTTTGAAGTCACAGTGTTAAGCTTATCTGCTCTCATGTTACCACCGTGTTCTGCAGTGTATTGATTGAGAGTTAAACCTGCATGTTTGTCTCTGTGTGAATGCATAAAAAGAAAGTATATGTRTTTGGCGGTTACCTTTACACAGCTGTAAATTTTTTATGGGATCAAGACTAAGCATCATCTTTAAAGTAAATAAAAATAGCCATTAAAAAAGGACAAAAAAATCCAGAAAAAATAATTCAAATAAAATTATAAAACTGATCATTCAGTAGAATGGTATATAGATTCACAGAGCCTTCCTTCCYCTTATATGAATGCAACTTAAGTTGCTCTGAGTTGAGAGTATTTTCTAAAAGATATTTTAAATATTAGCTCAGTTTCTACTTAAACTGTCTTTCCCTTTAACTTTAGGATGGCAATTCAATCAATTTTTTTTTTGTGCTATTTAATAGTATTTGCCTTGTTATCAAGAGGGAAACTAATATTAGTACTTGGAGCTTTTGAAGAGCTCTGTATATGTGTTTTTCTTCATTGAAATAAATGTTGAGAARTATTAGAAAATTTGTATGGGGTGTGTGATCCAGTCTTCTGTTAACATGTCATGACAGCGTCCAAGTTTCAGTCACATGTGATATGATGATCTCAGTAACAAAAAATACAGTAATTCCTGGAAGCTGGTTTAGGTGTTTTTAGGGTCTTTTCCTGTAAATCTGCTTTCTTTTTTTTTTTCATTTTTATTTTAATGCTTTAAAGTCTGCCCTTGTATGTAATCCAGCCATTATAACCAAAGCACGAAAGTTTTCCAGCAGCCACAAAAAAACTTATCTATCATTGTCTTTATGCGGGGGAAAGGGAAAAGGCAGGCGCAGTCGGAGATGTCTCCTGATCTCGTCCTCCATTGGAGCACGTGTCTCCTGTCGCTCGCTGTGGAAGCAGCTGAAGGCTTTTAGTGCCTCCCTTGAGAACGTTGCCAGGCTCCTGCCTTGATTCTCACAGGCCTTCCTGCTGAGTTGCTTCCATCAGATTTTTTTTTTTCCTCCTTTTTGGAGGAGATTGCCTGATGCTCCTGAGTTTATTTGCTCTTGAGGAGGAGCTAATGATTTCTTGTCTCTGATCATATAATGAGGAATAAATTAAAGAGAAGGAGAAAGGTCAAATTGAGAACATATTTCATAGCTAAGTAGTAAGAAATTCTCCTGAGAAGTGTTTTTTGTTTGGTTGTTTTTTTTGTTTTTGCTTTTTTTTTTTTTCTCTCATAGAGAAGGCTTTAAGACAATTAAAGCAACGCTGAAAGTGTTGCTGACTTGTATCTTCATCAGCAAGAAAGAACTGTAAATGCAATTTGTATACTCAGAGATTTGCTTGTCAATAATTTTGTCTCCTACCTTCATTTTGTTTTTTGGAACTTCAGGAATAGGCTGTAGTCTTCAATAGTAATTGAAAATTGCTGTTAACAAGTTGGTTGCATCCTAGCTAATAATTTGCTATTAATTCTTTTCTTCACAGACCTATGTAGCCAACATTCTTATTGCAGTGAATCCATATTTTGATATACCTAAGTTTTATTCCTCAGAAACCATTAAAAAATACCAAGGTAGATCACTTGGGACGTTACCACCACATGTTTTTGCAATTGGTATGTATTGAATCGGTATTTGGTTTTGCTAACACCAGTATTAAATACTTCGCTATTATGTTTTAATTGCTATCTGTAACCTAAATTACCCTTTCAAATACTAGGAACTAAAAGCACCAACTACTAAAACTGCAAATCTTGTCACACCGAATTAAAGCTATGTATTCTTAAAAATATATATTTTTTCACTTTTGTATTACAGATTAACTTTTATTTTAATATTGGGAGAGTTGCAAGCATCATTTTTGACATTTTTTTTTTCTTTTTTAAGCTGATAAAGCATTTCGTGATATGAAAGTACTCAAGATGAGCCAGTCCATCATAGTCTCTGGGGAATCAGGAGCTGGAAAGACAGAAAACACTAAATTTGTTTTGAGGTTTGTGCTTTTTGACCCAAATTATGCAAGGAATCTCTTATGTTGATGCACCTGTTGACATGCAGACAGAACTATGTAATGTAATAAATGACAGTAGAGTAGATTTAAGACACATATCCGCATATAGATTAATACAGCAAACCCCAGTGTTGAATCCCAGTGTTGTTTCTGCCATACGTATGCATTTCTATGCTTTCCTTGTCTTTGTTTCTTTAGCTTGCTTGAGTATCCAAGATTTAAACTCTTGATTTTTGAGATGGCTGCAGGGATTCTGGAATATACTTCTACCCTAATTTACTGATTATTGAATAAAGAGATTTAAAGTTAATTTATGTTTGTGCATGACAGGTACTAAATCAAGAACTTTAAACTTTCAGAGAGGTCATGTTGCACGTGAAGTGCAGTGTAGACAGCATGTATATATTCTGCTCCTCCAATCTTTTTTTTCCCCCCTCTGAACAAATCTTTAATTCCCTTTTTCTTTACATCATGTGTTCGCTAGTGTCCCTGTGGGGTATGTGTTCCTCATACGGCTCTTTTCCACTCTGTGTGACTGTTGGATGGGTAGCTGTCAAGAGTTACTGCAAGGTGATGGAAATAATTTTCATGGGGATGTCTTAGCTGAAGACAAGTCACAAAGTTGATCCTGCTCAGAGTGGAGAAAGACAGCAGGGCTTTCTGAGGACATCCCCTGAGAAGGGCTCTCAAGGGAWGTTCGCTTCTGCTTCTCAGCCAAGAAATTCTGTTTCCAAGGCAGGCAGAGGATCACTGAGGCTGCTCTCTTCAACCAGCTGCTCCCGTGTAGTCTGTGAACTAAATGGTAGAATTTTAAAAATAGGATTTTTWAAATCACACCATGAGGAAGATCCTAATGCAGATTTGTTAATCCTGCTATGCTTTTTCTGGAAGGCTCCATTTTAAGAAGTRCTTTGAACTTGTCCCAGATTTACCTGAAAATTTCTAGAAAGGATGTCCTGGAATCGGAGGGGGGGAAAAAAAAAAAGCTGTAACTGAAACCCCAGACATACTTGCTTCTGTCTCCCTATTTTCAAGTTCCTGCTTCAGTTGCTAAATTGAGACTCCTTTTTATGCACCTGCAGTTTTCTAGCTCACAGTGTAAATGTGAGATTTTCATTAGTACTGAGAATGAGGAACACGGAGGCTGTTTATGCATGGAAATAATCTTAACTTCAGATGATATATCTAAACAATATCAGTTTATGGAAATTAATTATGCAGACAGCACAGATAGATATTTATACAAAAATAATTTCCATGTGAATATCTGAAAGTAATTTCTAAAGGTGTCTGGAACTAATGAAAAAAAATCTGAGATCTGCAGCAATGTTTCTTGTAACAAAAGAAAAGTCAAATCGTACTTAATTTAAGAGCATTTAGGTACTTGGAGCTAACAATCAATTTATTCTCCCTTTTACAAATGGCTCGTAGGCGTAACGGGCAAATGTGCTAAACTCTGCTGAATTTAAGGAAACAGACAAATGGAAGACATCAATCACTTCTTTCTTACTCTGCAGGTATTTGACAGAATCCTATGGTACTGGCCAAGATATTGATGATAGAATTGTAGAAGGTATGATATTTTATTAAACTAATGGTTCCTTTTTTTATTTTTCCAACCAAAATGTTAAACGATGATTAAGAGTTAGGTTGACAATATTGTGTGTTCCTAGGGCCTAATTTGCCAGGAGTTTACCTTGACACTTATACAGTTATTTTTTATTTGTGATTTGCATCATTTAGAGAAATGTCATACATTCCTTGATCTAGAATATGTTGGAGCGTGAAAATTCACACATAACCAGGACTGAACTTCACACTGTATGAAATCTGCAAGGACAAAATAATCTTCTTATTAGTATTATTGGTATCAGAAAGGGGTAGTGTCTCCTCCTCCCCACCATAAATTTCTCAGATGGATACAGAAATCAAGTTATTTTAAACTCTGCCCCAGTCTTCTGGGTCATTTTTTCTCTTATGTCTATTTGTCCTAAAGCAATTGAATYGAATTAACACTTTCATGTCTTCTTTGTGTCTGTCCAAAAAGGTCAGGAATTTTCCACATCTGTTCTATGTTTTTAAATGTTATAGACACTCTCCCACAGGAAATATCTTTTTGAATAAACAGAAATATCTTAAAACTAGCCAGCCAACCTCCAGCCAAAAAGTGTCAGTATTCAATGAGACTCTTTTCTGAATCAAATTTAGAGTATAACCGCCCTCACGGTGTTTCTTAAAGAAAAATTTCTTTCTTTGAATGTTTCTGTTTTCAAATTCAAACCACAAGATTATTCAGAAATACTGCAGGCTTTAATCTTCTGTTGCTGTAGAATTGCTTAAATCGATTTGTTAATGAAATCCCTTGTGTGCTAAAGGAACAGAGAAACTGGCCAAGAGTTGGATAATACTTGTCCCAGTATGCCGTAAAGTTAATCGGTGCTTGTAGGTATTTTTAGAAGATTATTTTTAATCTAAAACAGCATCTGATGCATGAATTTTCAAGTTTGGGCAGAGAGCCTGAATGAGCATGTTCACAGCCTCCTTTACTCAAGGGACATCTAGCCTGTCTGAAAGACCTCCTGGCATCTTTTAATTCAGAACCCATACCTTAAAAAAAAAAAAAAAAAAAAAAAAAAAAGTAGGATATTTGGCTATCTGAATAGTTACCAAAGATATCTTATGGCAATTTTTGAAAAGATCTTAATATGGCAGTTTTTCATTGTTATATGCTTCTATTAAAAAACAAAAGCCTAGCCAAAAAAAAAAACAAAAAAAAACCAAAAAAACTTTCAAAGCAGATTGTCCTAATAAATAATGCATTATCCTCTGTAATTCATCCAACTATTGTGGATATTCCTCCAACTTCAATTTTTGTAGAAAGAGAATTGTGTATGTTAGCAGTGGAGGTTTAAACATGAGTTTCTGCTCAGATACTTTCCAGCAGGTGGTTTTAACTAAAAACCTTAAAACATCTTGCTCATGTTTTCTATGGCTTATTGTCAGCATATATATATATATACATAAAAATATATAAAAATAATTTTCTTAGATCTTCAGSTGATTTATCGGAGCTAGTAAATACAGTCTTTCAGAGGCATGGTTTTGCACAGCTAATAAGCATCAGTCTGCTTGAATTGTGCATGTTTAATATATATGGGTTATTGCTGTCTCAGTTCCTGTAAGGGCTCTTTGAGACCACTGAAAACTACCACCACTGAAAAATAAAATCACTTGATCACTTATTGTTGTTTTTGAAATCAGCACACACATTTAATGCCTTTTTTTTTTTTTTTAAATTCATTGATCTAACATGTTGTATGCATGATTTTCACCTAGCATGTCTGGGAGGTAAGGGGGTAACTTAGATGTGTGAATGACAGTTCACTAGGATGTCTCAAATTGTTGTCTCATAGTTTATGTATCAGTTGTTTACCTGCTTCCTGTAAGGGAATATCACTAAATCATTTTGAGTGATAGTCTCTAAATTTATTGTTTTATTGATTCAGAATCCTAGCAGKGCTTGTGTGGTATTTACGCATTTCATTCACTTCATTCTGAATTCTACCAGAGTGCATTCAGTGCACCTTGCAAAAGCCACTTATTCCTAATAGGTAATATATTATCTTTTAATAGTCAAACCTTATTCTCAGTAAGTACCCTGAATACCCTGAATAGTGTGCATTTGTTCTCTCTTGCTCTTTTCCTTTTTAATAGTTTAGTGATCAGACTATAACTTTCTTTTAAACAGCAAATCCCCTATTAGAAGCCTTTGGAAACGCAAAGACTGTTCGCAACAACAACAGTAGCCGTTTTGGGAAATTTGTAGAAATTCACTTCAATGAGAAGGTACTGGGCTTTTTATACAGATAGTGATGATCGTGCCCTAAAATGGAAGTGCTGGACTGSATGGGACTGAATCCACTTGACTTGGTTATCCCACACCACATAGTGACTATCCTGCTTTCCACTCTGACTGTTCCGTCAGCTTGAGAGGAAAACTGAAGTCACTTTGTCTCTAGCAGGAAAACTGTGGGTCAAGCCAGTGGGAAAATTACTTTCTTCATGAAAGGACAAAAATATTCCCCTTCATTGCAAGGGTGTGGGGGGAAAGCATGTGTAAAGAATAACTTTATTGTTCTTCAGCATTTGTACATGCCTTTAATTCATAAGTAAGCATGGTTACTTATTATATACAAGAAGATATAAACATGTGTCAAAAATTTTTAAATGACGTATTCATGTTTTTCATGTATTTATTTGACATTTTGAGACCTTACATCAATATTATGTGTTTGACAGACGTTTGGGTCAAAAGTACCATTCAGTGTGTAGCCTAGGAAGCATTTTCTTTGTTTGTGCATATTTCTGTTTGAATAGATGATGTACACAGACATTCATGGTTAAGAATGACCGTGTCTGTCAGGCACATTCAGCTTGACGACTTGTTGCCTGTCTATGTAGACACTCTGTATGTGCCCCCTCATCTTTGTCACCTTGCTTGAGGATGTGAAGAAGCAATTTGCTACAGTGCCTTCATGCAGAGTTGGAGCTCACCATTGAGCTTGTGAGCTTTTCCTCAGCTTTCCTCGCTCAATTCTGCAACTTTGCTTACCAATTGGGATAGTAAATAACTCCTTACAGAGGAGAGAGACATCACCTGTTGGTTCAGTTTGTATTAACAAAATTATGGAAAGGTGCCCAGATTTCTACTTGGCATGATGCATCCTGTCCTGTCTTAACTCCTAACTTGAAAATAATCAGAAAAATACTTAGATAATCAGAAAAATATTTCTTCCTCCTAGAATTCGGTGGTTGGTGGATTTGTATCACATTACCTTCTGGAGAAATCTAGGATCTGTGTGCAAGGCAAAGAAGAGAGGAATTATCATATCTTTTACAGGCTTTGTGCTGGTGCTCCAGAAGACATTAGGCAAAAGCTATTTTTAAGTTCTCCTGACAACTTTAGGGTGAGTATTGGAGTCAGTGATTCTGAAATTGCTCATATTGCTATGCATGGATTTTTTTTCATGTACTTTTTAATCATATTTTAGCCTGATAAAAGGATGCCTGCCTGCCTGCTACTTTTTCTGTATTGGAAAATTTCCTGTACTGCTTTTTTTCCTTTCAAAATTGAGGAACCTTTGCCTTTGCTTTTTCTAAAATGTACTATTGCATACTCAGCTACTGGTAATTTTGTTGTGGGGTTAAAAAAAAGTCTATTCCTCTTCTTTCCATGCATTCAGGAACACTTAGGGGTTGCATTTCTCTGTTTCTTCATCTGAAATTACTCTTTTCTCACTCTTCCCACCTACAATCACTACCATGGTGTCAAGGTGGTCATGTGTCTGGTACAGTCCTTATGCCCCCATAGCACTTACTTTTTTCTTTCCTATTCTTTTTCATGAATTTTGTTCTTATCTTTGTATATGTCATTTTCTGCAGTTCAGAATCTCTGCTGTTCCTCTTCATGCTCCTCTGTGATTTATGGTCACTCTAGTTAACATAAGAGCCATGTGTCCCTTCAGACGGAAAGTTACCCCTTTCTCCCCCCATTTGACCTGAAGCCTATTCTAAACTGTTACTACTTTTTATTAAGCATGATTCTCTCTCTTTTTTTTTCTTTATTCTTTCCTGAGGAGGACATATTTTCTTTCAATATTCTGTTCTACAACCTGTCACTATTCTAGTCACTGCRGTCATAGAAAGGCCAGTAAAATGTGAGTGAAGTCAGTCCTGAATCATTTAGCAGTAGCTAAGTGATAATACACTTAAAACATTTTTAAAATTCTCAGCTTACTATTCAGTGGCAATGGAAAATAAAAAGTAGACTAGAACTTGGTGTTTAATGATTAGGAAATGGACCTAGAATGAAACAGTATGTTATGCTACTACACAGATCCACATTTGTGATAGTTTAAACAGTTTTGTCATCTCAGCTTTCTCTCCCACTTCTCTAGCTGTTCAGATTCTACTGTTTTTTTTTTTTTTTTTTTTTTTTTTTTTTTTTTTTTTTTTTAAGGAATGCTGGCAAGGGTCTCCATAAGTGTCTTTGGTGCCCGTGTGGTTGCTTCTCCGTGCAGTTGGTTTCTTGTTTTTTTTTTTTTTTTGTCAGAAAAGACAAATGACTCCCTTCTGTGTAGGAGACTTTTCTTTCTGTTTTCCTTCTTGTTGGTCAAAAATTTCTGTTAGAACTATTTTCTTAGTTTTCTGCTTGTCTGAGTGATCGCTGTCCCCATTTCTCTAATTTTTAAATTCTCATTTAATTTCTAACTGCTTTACAGTATGATTATTGCAGTCATTTTTTAATTTGAGACTCAAATATTGTTGAGGTTGTATGCAACCAGAGCAGCTTCACTGCTAGGACTCTTTTTTTCCCTGCTTTCCTGGCTGTCCCTTTTGTTTCCCTTCAAAGAAAACTTTCTTCTTCACTTTCAACATCCTAAGTTGATTCTCCTTCTTTCATCTTCTTATACTTTCATCTCCAACTTACTAGTAAGGTGAAGACTCTTGTCTTCAATCACCATGTACTTCCATTACCTGATATTTAATTATTCATATATAAGCATATCGATGAGTGTATTGATTTCTTTTCCCCCTTGACAACGACACTTGAAGTGCAAGCATCTACAAATAGCTGCTTCGTTGGAAGCATCTACAAATAGCTGCTTCGTTGCCTTTTATTTAAAAGGGGACAAACAAAAGGGGCTGGGGTGACTGGGCACCCTACTGATACATAGTCAGTTGTTTCCCTTTGTTCTGCCTTGTGGCTGTCTCTCTCTCCTGCTTGGCTTGGAGTCTCTTCAAAGCGGAAATCTGTGTATTCCCAGCGTCAGAAGCTCCTTCCTGAGGCTTTTAAGGGATTTTCTAAAGCAAACTTGGAGTGTGTGTGGAATTCCAGGCCTCTCCTCTTTGTAAACTTCCTATATCTTAAACAGGATAAGATGCACTGCTAGCAAGAGAGCTGCTCAGTCTGGTGCATATTAAGAAAGAACCGTGTTTGGTCATTTGCTTTTGTTAAGAAAGAACCGTGTTGCATTTTCTTTTATGTGATAAGCATTGTTTTAAAAATCCTTTCTAATCCTTCCATTTAAATCTTGCAAATGAAAGCAAAAATCTTTTGAATACGCACGTTCTTAATGTATGGTCTCTTTTCCATTTTTGCTCATTTTTTGTACTTAACAAATTTTTAATTCTGTAACTGAATATGCTACCTGCCAACTCTTGGGAGTTTTTTAATCAAAAATTCTGTTTAAGAGAACACAGAAAGCTGTAGATAGGTGTCAAGGTCAGAATTATGACCTGTTAAAATTAGGCTGGTGCAGTACAGTACTGAACAGCATAAGTACCTGCACAGAATACATTTACTGACCTTGTTTTGTTTCTAAAGAGCTTCTGGTCACAYTCTGTAATATGACTTTTTGTTGTTAAATTTACAGCAGGTACTTTCATTTACATGCATAATGTTTTAYTGCTGTACCAAGAGTCAGTATTGGAATTGTGAATGCTTTGCTGTCTGAGAAAGGTTCACTACGATATTAATAAAGATCAAACAAACATTTTTTCCCCTTCCGAAGTAGGTGTTTAATTACACAGAAACTTACTCGSAGGTTACTACTTTTCATTATCTCASATAATACATCTTTGTGTGTAAATTAACATAAATATACTTAAAARTTAGTCATATTGCACTATATTTTCATGATATATCAATCTAGAGGATTTTTTTTTTAATTGTAAAAGGTTATTCTTTTTCTCCAAATTTGTATTACATCTATCTTCATTACTTTTTCCATCTTGTTCTTCTTTCTCAATTTCTTCTTCAGCTTTTATGATACAATGACTGTAATTAATCATATTATTGTTGCTATTTATTACCACTTTTTTTTTAACTGTCTGGTGTCTTGTTGCAATTATCACAGAAAGAGAAATACTCTCTTTCAAGTTTCTAATAATGGATGGTGATATTAGTAGTTAGAAGAATTTTACTATTTTATGTTTGATGAGTGGGTTTTTTTTGTTGTTTATTTTTTTAAACAATCAGAAAAGCCTATGGTAAAATTGATTCTAAATACATTAAAAAAAAAAAAAAAAAAAAAAGAAGAAAAATCAGTCCCTAAAGATATAGTTTTCATGAGTCTTTGCAATTGTGCTATTTGTCTTACAATCTTTAGCTTACCAACTCAAAGTCCGTATCAGAGTCAGCTGAGGTCCCAAGGCTCAAATGTGTTTTGGTCACTGCCGGGTTTTTCTTCACTGCATTAACTTCAGAATACAACCATCTCTCAAGCAGTTTTCATTTTTCACAGAACTGAAATTGTATTAAAAAGGATCAACAGTTTTTTCGATACTCCAAATCAGTACTTTTTTTCTTCTTCCAATAGCTCTGCCTTCCTCTCAAACAATCCTCCTGGATCTTCCTTAGGCTGTTTTGCCGTAGGCTCATGCTTGCTGTGGGCGAGCCAGCAGATARCCCCATTCTGGACCCAACCACCGAGTAGGGCCAGGTAGTTTTGACTGCATCAGGTGGCTTTGAAAGAGGCTGCACAGTAAATGTGCACCTGGAATCTGCTTGATGGATCAGACAAGCCAATTTTTTTTTCAGTTCTCAATTTCTAGTGAAGAAGTGCAGTTCCCATATGTTAGATAAGGTACAATAAGACATTGTCCTTCAGTGTTTTTGTTTTTCTTTGTTTCTSTTTTTTTGTTTCTGTTTTCAAAGCATGATAATATTCAGAGGTTATATCGGGCTAACACAAGCTGTATATATCTTATCGGCTTTAAAAACACAATTTCTCCTAAATTTATTATGTATGTTTACTTGAGTTTTTAGCTTTCATGAGAGAGGTTTTGTCTTGTGATCCATTGTCTCCTACATAGGTAATTATTGAATACTGTGCTGGTTCTCTTTCCCCGTGGGGCAGATAAGTTTCCATTCTCCTGTTGATAAGATGACCTTTTTCACCCCTCCACCCCCAGTTCCTGGGTTCGTGTTACTAAGTACTTCAAGACAGGGAGATTATGTTGTATTTAAAATGTGCTTTGCATTCTTATTGGCTGATACAGTAAAATTTTCAGTATCATGTTAAACACCAAACTTAATTTTACACAATGTTTCTTGTCACTGTATTTTAATATTAATTTAGATTTGTGACCTAGGTTTTTTCTGCTTTTAGAAATCCTTTAAAGAATATTTTACCTTTCGGGATTTTCTAGTACAGGAAAGTACAGAAGTACCTGTGTTCACCTAGTTGAAAMTATCTTTGTTCATGAACTGGAGAAAGGAAGGGTTTGCATCACCCAGACAAAGGCTCCTATGTAGTATTTAGGCAGAGTTCCTAGTTGCCGCCAAACAAATCGGAACAAAAAGGCTGGTGAAACCATTTTCCTGGAAGTGTTGGTCATTGTCTGAAAGCTTGAACTATTCCCTTTACTATCCAGCAGGATTGATATCAGGAGGCCGATTCGGAATACACGTCTGCTTGCACAATATGAGCAGTTTGTAATAGTCTTCAAACTTTTATTGAGCTATATTTCTTATTATCAGCAGAATTATATCACTAGGGAGAAAAAAAAGACCATAAAAATGTGTTAACTCTAATTTTTAGTAATTTTTTAAAAAAGTAATTCCAGTCTCCATTAGTAGATTTAGTAGAATCAAACAAAGGTAAAATAATGTGTTCTAACACTGCAAATAAAGTGGAGGAAAGAGAAATTTAGCTGTTAMAATTGAAAAGCTTTCAGTAGAAGTTGGCTGCTCTTGGACTTCTAGTACATTGTGAAGGAATAAATTCTGACCATCTAGCATGTAGCTATCATATAATGACGTAAAGCTATGTAAAATGAACCTTAATTGTGTTTTTTCTTACTGCTATCTGTAATCTTGTATGCTTTTCCTCCTTCTTTTTTTTTTTTTTTTTGTTTAGTATTTAAACCGAGGCTGTACCAGATACTTTGCTAACAAAGAAACAGACAAGCAGATCTTGCAAAATCGGAAAAGCCCTGAGGTATGGTGTGTGTTTCCTATCTTCAGTTACTCTGTTTTATTATCTAATGCCGACACAGTTAAGAATGATGATTACAGTCTTACAGTGTGGAATGAAATGTTCATTTTACACATCTTCACAGGKTTAAAGGTTGACATATTTAGAACTCTGCTTTTGGAGTTCAGTGATAGAAAATAACTTTGTGTACCAAAATGGAACATGATGTAAAATTGTTTTGTCTCCATTCATTTCATTCCTTTTCATTCTGTTTTTATGTATCAAGTAATGATTCAGCAAAGACTTTTTGCTGTTTTCTTTTTAAATAGATCAAAAGCAGTCTTTYCCAAAACTGTTTTTCCAAGGTTTTTGCTGTCTAGATATTTGGAGGCATATTTCCTTTGTYCAACTTAGTATTGTGAAATATACTCCTGATTTGTATGACTTGGGAGTACTGAGCACTGTCTGAATGTAGGATATTTTCTGGCACCGGGATGATAGAGAGTGAGATGCAGAAATACTGATTTTACTGTGAGGCAGAATGTTGATTTAATAGCCTACACATCTGACAGCATTATTAGAGATGGTTGGGAGTTTTTACCTCATTTTACCTATTTTGTCTCAAATACACATTATGATCTCTGTTCTCAAGGCAATTTAGGTGCTTTTTAGGCATAAAGTATCAAAACTCATTTGCTGCTGGAAGATGAATTTGTGCAACTTTCTGGCACTTAGGTTATTTACACATCTCACGTTTTGTCATWAAATGAGTCTTCTAAAAGATTTGAAGTGATTGTCTAAACTAAAATATACCAAAAGATACATATTGGACGTTGAGCATTGGAACAAATGATGTTCCGGTAATATTATGGCCAGGACAATTTGAAAAAGTAATGAAATGTCACAATTCAATGGCATTAAGTCTAACTACTTAAATAGAAAGAGTATTGCATTGTCTAGGTCTTTTAGTCACAAATTAATATTTGCTCTGTGATTTTTTTWAATGAAAAATATTATCATCATTTATTTAATAACCTAGTTGGAATATTCAATTAATACTTAAATTATTTTTGTGTTTTTCCTTATCAGGAAGATGAGGTGATCATTTTACATAATTAAGAAATATAGTTTAATTTTATTGATGTGTCTAAATGCTGTGTGAAGTGAATTTTTCAGATGCATGTTTTGATTAAAAAAGAACACGTTAGCTCTTTGACATTAACTAGGGTTTCAATTTAAAGTTTATTATGAAATCTGTTTAGCTGAAAGCATTTTAATGTCATTGTAAAACTTTAATTAGCCTATGCATGTTTGGCTAATCTTTTGATTGCATGCAGATTCTTTACTATCTACTCTTTGAGACAATTCACAATGAAAATGGCTTTGGATATATTTAAATCAGGATAATCAGCAGTATGTTATAAAACCTAAATGGTACTCTTTTAACCCATTGAACATTGCAAATAACTTCACTGTTGCTTAATCCTCAGCAAAAATGAACAAGAACATATCTGTCAACAAGTTTGTTTGGATACTCCTTTCCATTTTGGATTTCCCAGTACTCTTTTCCCATGGCTTGTCCAACCCACTTTTTCATGGCTTTCTTTCAACTGCTAGAGGGAAGCACTGCTCCGTGTATGTGCTTCTCCAGCTCCCTTAGCTCTTGCTTTTCCACTGCTCACTGTGTTTTTCTCTCTTCTTAGCCATCAAATTCTCCAACTCTACTTCAAAGTATCAAGAAACTAAAACAAACAAGAGTACCTACAAAACTTGTGTTGTATGACAAACTCTAATCTCTTTCTGTTTGGCTTGGTTTTTGCATGCCTTTGTATGGTTTTTGCTATGCTTTATTTTTGTCTGGAAGCAATTKTTTATGTTTTCTTGAAAATCACTTACTGAATGATTGACTTGTCTTGTTGCTTTATAGTACCTTAAAGCAGGTTCCTTGAAGGATCCTCTCCTAGATGATCATGGGGACTTCAACAGAATGTTGGACTGGATGATGCAGAAAAGCTTGACCTTTTCAGGGTGGTGGCTGGTGTCCTTCACCTTGGAAATATTGATTTTGAGGAAGCTGGGAGCACTTCAGGTTAGATGAAACAAATTATTTTCTGTAAAAGTAATCAAAGYGTCTCTCAGTGCAGTAAACAGGGCCTGTTCAGCTTGGAGAAGAGAAGCCTGAGAGGGGATATGATTAACATGTATAAGTTCATGAAGGGAGAATGTAGGGAGGAAGGGGCCAAGCTCTTCTCAGTGGCGGACAGTGACAGGACAAGGGGWAATGGGTGTAAAGTTGCAACACAGGCAGTTCCATCTCCATGTGAGGAGGAACTTCTTCCCTGTGAGGGTGACAGAGCCCTGGAACAGGCTGCCCAGGGAGGCTGTGGAGTCTCCTTCTCTGGAGATCTTCCAAACCTGCCTGGATGCCACCATGTGCCCTGTGCTCTGGGTGTCCCTTCTTGAACAGGGSGTTGGACTGGATGATCTCTAGAGGTCCCTTMCAGCCTCAACCATTCTGTGATTCTGTAATCCTTTACCATGTGAATTAATCCTCTAGAATATGGCTGTGTACTCGAGGGTAATTCAACCTTAACTCACTCCATTTTGAGGTTATTTACTTAATTTTAAGTTGTATTTCGTTGCATGACCCAGAAACAAGTCAGCTCACACTGAAATTGCTCAAGAAAATGTTTATTGAAACTGCATGTGGATTTTTTTTTCTTTTTAAATATATGATCCGAATACGTGTGTGTTATTCCCCGGGCAGGCGGCTGCACGCTCAAGAATCGCAGCGGGCAGGCGCTGGAGTGCTGCGCGGCGCTGCTGGGCCTCGACGAGGACGACCTGCGCGTCAGCCTCACCACGCGCGTCATGCTCACCACGGCAGGGGGCGCCAAAGGAACGGTCATCAAGTGAGTGCCGCGCGCCCAACGGCCGCCAACGGCCGCCGCGGGGCTCGGCCCCGCCCCCTCCCTCCCTCAGCCCGGACACCGCTTGTGGCGGGGAAGTGGCAGCAGCTTCATGGATTAAAAAGTACAGAACACAAGCATGTTTATCATGACASTGCTGGCATGAACTGACACTCCAGGACTGCCCTATGCTTGGAGCATAACGGGGCGCCTTAGCAGAAGCTTCCCTGCCCCATCTCATTCAACCCCAAGGGCAATAGTGCATTGGAGGTAACCCTTAGGGATTTCGGTGTCCCATCTGGTGCCAAATCTTTGGGCTCTTCTTTGGAAACCACCTGCTTAAAAAGAATTCCTCCCTTATCCACATAAAAAGGGGAAAATGGTCAGAAATTCTCAGTTGGCACATGAGCTGAGTCACAGTGAAGGGCAGTTAAGATGACCACTTCATGGCGCACAGAGTGTGAAACTGTAAGTGTAGCCAATTAGTGTTGCCACGCCTCTCTGAACTGAAGCAAATAGTTGTGTTTCTCTGCTACTTAAGCTATTTTGGGGCTGACAAGTATTAGCAGAAATTTGAGATATGCCAATCTTTTTGTATTTTCGACTAGCTATTGTGCATATATAGATGTTTTATCGGCAAGCTTGCTTGTAGTTCTTTAGTCACTAAGATTTTATTTTTATCTAGAAGAAGGATTGTACAGTGTCTGACAAAGGTGGTCTTTTTGGGGGGAAAATGAGCAGCTTTGAATACGACACACATGCTTTCTGTAAATTCTGTTATATGTTACTGACTGCATTGCATGGACAAAGAAAACATAGCAGGAAACCYGTTAAGTTCCTAAGCTACACAGCAAAGTTGGTATGTTAATCGGGTAACATATACTCTGGAGAGGCGCTGATGCTGTTAACTACAGCAGACCTCAAGAAAYTGAGGATCTTTAATGTGTTGGTCTGGTTGTGGAGGCTGCAGTTTAGCGTTCGCTGCTGTCCGAAGGCCTTAAGGTCTGAGAGGGTACCATGAGGGTACCCATGAGGGTAATACAGATGCTAGTTGCTTTTTGAATATGGGAAGGTGCCCTTTGTCCACCTTTCCATATTCACATTTTTTAGTGTCACTGCTGATTTTCAACTCTTCCATGGTTGTCTTCACAGCAAGAGGTGATAAGTTTCTCTCTCTTGCTGCTTTTAATTCTTAGTCAAGTTTGAGCTTGTACTATTTAAACATGACCACAAATGCTAATCAAGAAACATGCTGCTGCTTGCYGTTGCTGGTAAGCACTTAATCAAAAACACAAAGTCAGTTGGCTTTCATAGAAACATAAGAAATATTAAATTTAGAATTTAGAAATATAGGAAGAAAAGAAATATATATAAAATATAAAATATATATAAAATATATATATATATAAAAGAAAGAAATATAAATTTAGGATTTTTTTTTTCCTGTAGGTATTAAGAGTAACACGCTATAGGAGAAAATAATAGTAAAAAGAAAGTAATAGGTTTTTTGTTTGTTTTTTTTACTAATGTCTTGTCAAGATGCTTTTAGTATGCACAGAAATCATAGAGTGATTTTTTTTTTTTTTAGTACTCACATGGACAGGAACTAACTGTAAAGAAAATGTTATGATCAGTATAACTTCTAAACGTTTTAATGCCCATGATAGCTAAAATTTTTCTAAAACTGAATTTTATTGAAAACATTGGTTTCAAAAAAAAAAAAAAGTTGGTGGAAAAAATAGTTTTATCTTGCAACACAAATTTGCTGCAACTGGGACTGAATCTTCTAAYATATGGGCTGTTAGGTGTACTAGATAAGCTTCAAAAAGCTGTATTGCATATTTTAGCACCTGGTTTCCTGACTATGTCTTTTCAATTTTTCTTTTTTTTCTGAAGTTTAAAGAAACTGACTTTGGAACTTCCAGTTTTGAGGAAACCAATTTACTATGGCTAGCAAAATGTGTTTATCGTTTAGTTAGGAAACTAATAMTAAATTTGGTCATTGGAGGAACGCACAAAAGTTTTGTACTGTCTTCAGTTGACTTCATGGAATTGAAAATAAAAATATATGCACATGCAAAATTTAATATAGGAATACCATAATTAGCTACCTGTATTAATACGTATAGGTTCACTGTATGTTTTGACATTTGTCATTCCTGTTATTTGAACCTGTTATTTTATAGTCCTAAGTAGTATTTGTTAACWTTTCATAAACTCATGGACTGAAACAGCAAATAGCCTTGGATAATATTGACCTCTATCTAATTCCTACTGATAAAGGCGGTAGCTGCAGTGGAAATGCTGCTCATTGCCAGCTTTGTGATCTTCCAGCTGAAACTCATCTTTTTGGCCAAAGTTTGAAACTTGTGAGCTATTGGTGGCAGACTTGCTTTTGAGAATGTTGGAGAGGAAGTATCCAAGGTCCTACTGCCCAGAAAGGACCGTGCACTGTCTCTCACAGCATTCGTCCTGTGATCCTGGCAGGGAAGGCTTCTTAGGAATGATTTGTCTCTGATGCTTGGCTCTTTTTACTGTTTCATTGCATCTGAGATAGTTACACACAGCTCTGATTCGCTGTAGTAAATATACACACATGTATCTTCTGTTACAGCTTGAAATTTACCTTTAATTATGAATGTAAAGATCTCTTAGGCATACTCATGCTAGAAAGCCTAGGACATTACACATATCATCAACATACTGTTTCYAAAGTTTGTTAAACCTGTATGTGATAGTAATCAAGTACATTGCTTTTTTTCCCTTTTTTTTTCCTTTTTTTTTTTTCCTTTTTTTTCCTTTCTTTCTTAGGGACTTTCTGTGTGAAAGTAGATCATGTGATTGCTATTAGCTCAGCTGAAATCGCTATGCTCAAGAGTATAACAAAAGCTTTGTACTGCTCCGCACAATAGAACCAACAAGGAGCAGTGGGAGGGTTGTGCTAAATACTATCTCTGTGGATTTGTTAAATACTAGTATGCAGTGGACTGCCAAGGGGATCTGACAACTGCGCTGAATTTGTCTGCCCTTGGTACTTTTCCAAGCAGAGCGTAATAATCACCTTGTGGGCTGGTGTATTTGCTGTCCCCGTACAGCTCATTTACAGAGAGAAATAATGAGCTCATTTACAGAGAGAAATAATGTGTTGTTATTCAAAAGTGTACCTTCTAAACTGTAAATGTGCTGTATTACTATTCCTCAGCTTCACCTTTTCCCAGAACATTATCAGACAGAAATTTATGATCACAAAGGAGATCATTTTACAATGTGAGATATTTAGCTCACATCATTCCACGTCCTCACGCTTCCTTTGGAGCAGTGTATTTTCTAGCTGTGGAAGGCTAATCACATTTAAAAATTTCTGGATTTATTTCTGTTGAACTTAGAACATTTCTTAGAACTTTTTTTTTTCCAAATTGAAAACACATTGCTTTGATTCTTGAATGGCACAGGCCTTTTGCTAGGTAGGGTCACTTCTTCCGGCYGTTATTTGTGAAGTAGCAACATGGATGGATGCTGGACGGTGRTCCATGGGCATCACTTCACCTGCTCTCTCTTATTGATAATCATGGGCGGAATTTCTTGGTCTGAACAAATAGCCTGTATAATATTAAGTTATGGCAAATGTTTAGAGACTGCATAGGATTGTACACAAGATAAATCCAGCCTATGGAGAGCTTGACCTTGGCCCAAYTGTAAACCCCTAACCATCGGGAAGAGGTTGGTGTGAAAATCAAGTGTTTTTGTGTTGCTGCCTTTTCCAAATACCTAGAAAACAGCAATTTCCTCCATGTTCCTTGAAAGTATATGATGGAGATGGGGGCAAAAGTGAGAGAGGAAGGAAAATGTATCCTTCTGTGCAGGAAGAGATGAAGGAGTTCTTTAATAATGTTCTATATTCTGCTAGTTCAGTGCAACTTCAGTGTTACTTTGTAGTTATGTAATTTTTCAACTGAGCAAAAYACATTTCAGTGTTAGGTTTTCTTCTTTTCCATGGATTTTTGCTGCACACTGTAATAATTCATGTTAATAACATGATTTCATTTATCTCTGGAACTCCACTGGCCCTGTTCTTTTTTTCTGTGGATTAGGGCTGTTTTATCACTGTATGCTCTAGAAGGAAAACYGGTTGTCATGTTGTTTAACAGATTTAAAAGCAGTAGAAAGCATAAAATAATATGACAAAATCACTTATGTAATAGGGCTGCAGGTGACATGTGGGAATTAGCATTCTGATCTCTTAAACGTATCAGAATGGGACGTAAAGGTACCTTCCTTCTATTTATAAGCTTTCTGTCAGTACTTGTTATCCTAAGATAAATCAGCAGATACTTACGGGAAGACGAGATTTTGCTAAAGCTAATTACTCTCTAAGGCAGTGTAGCTCTGACTGTCCTTTAGTGCGTGTGGTCTCTGGTTTCCTGACAGTGACCATAGAAGAGATTTCAACAGTCTCACATTTCTGCTTCAGAAGTCTCATCTTTGGAAATTACAGCAACAACAGTTAGGAGAAAGTTCAGTGCCTGTGAATTGTGGGGAGTCAAGGCAAGGGTGCAGTAAGGGTGAATGTTGCTTTTTCTGCTCTGACCTGCCGGTTCTTACTACTCTGCTCATAAGGAAGACAACCTGGAGGGGGCAACAGAGCAGTTCTGCAGCTGTGACATCCTAAACCCCATAGGTAGGGTAGGGGTGACGGAGCAGTTTAGTTAAGAGGGACTTTGAAAGGTGGATTGTGGTTGCAATTTGGGAAGGTTCCATACTTRATTACCCAGCACGTTGTGAGAGAGTCGATCTGATGATCAAATAGTGGTTGTTACTGTAGCTCTGGCTGTTGTACGATATGAGAGGCAAGTTGCATGGGGGGAAGTAGTTCAGGATGTTAACAAGRAGAAAGGATTTGTTTTTTTCAGCCAGCTCATTGATGTATTTAGAGGACAGAAAAAAAAAAAAAACCTTTCAGCACATAGCCAAAACCAGTATCATCTAGTATTCATCATGATACCAGAGGACTGGTGTGATCAAAAATACTGGCATCTTCCCTCTCCCTGCAGATTATATTTGTTAAATAAAGGCTGTCTTCTCCCTTATTTTATTTTTTACTTTAACATTCTATATATCTCTGTGTCATGGTAGTATTGTGCCAAGTCTTTGTGAACCCATGGTGATTCTGGTAAGAAACTTATATTATAGACCATTCTTTTTGTGCATAAAATTTTGTTAACGTCTGGCCAGAGGCTTGTCAAGTGTTTCCCTTTTTTTTTTTTTTTNTTTTTTTTTTTTTTTTTTTTCATTTCATTACATTTTCTAGAAAGCCTTTGGAGAATTTTGATCTTTAATCAGATTCTGTTTTGTGGAGGTTGCTTGGAATTTAGCTTTTGAGTTCTTGTCAATTTGATAAAGATTTAAGCACAATTTGTGATCATTTTTGTAAAAGCTCRAAGTTCATTTTTGTTGGGAGCCTCATTTCCCATACTTCTGTGTTTTTTCAACTAGCTACTTAAAAATTTATCCATGAATGAGTTGTCTTATTCTGGTTTTTTTTTAGAGGTAAAATTATCATTTATATAGCTAAAATATGTATTTATATTTGCCTGGTATCCCTACAGTTTAGTTATGTTTGTCATAATTGTCTCARTTTTAGAAAAAAATAATAAATGCTAAACTGGGTTATAAGTATATAATAAATAGACCTAGTACAGAGTAAAGTTTAAAATTAGAAGTCGAGATGGGAAAATAATAATAATATTACATAAATACTCAACTGTTAAAAGGCCTCTCTTTTTCCAGCAAAAAAAGAATCCTTATGTTGAGCTTGCATCTATCTTTTGCCRTCAGAACAAATATTCCCTATTTTTACTTTCTTATTTCTGTTACCAGTTAGTTTGCAGCCCTGCAGTTTCAGTTATACCCAGAATGAAAACATAAAGTCAAGATTGTCAGAGCAAAAATCAACTTTTGTTGTATTTGTTAACCTTTTATTGTAGTTAGGTAGATCATAACTAACCTGTTGAAATATTTTACAGATGGGACTTAACGTTAATTTTAGATGTTGGTGATAGACATAGTTCTGTTTGTCTACTAAACACGAATGAAATCATCTGCATCTTACTTCTAGGGAGAATAGCAAAACATTATTCTTACTTTTTCACAGGTAGTTATGTGGCAAGACTGTTCTCTATTTGAGTCCACAGCTAGGATTTGTGTGTCCTAGTTCACAATAATATGAAAGGCTCTTTTTAAGTTTAGGGCCTAGTCTCATATATTTTAGAGGGAGGAATTCTGATTTAACATCAGTATTTTTGTTCTGTAGGGTTCCCTTGAAAGTGGAACAAGCAAACAATGCTCGTGATGCCTTGGCTAAAACAGTGTACAGTCACCTCTTCGACCATGTAGTGAACAGGGTAAACCAGTGTTTTCCATTTGAGACTTCTTCTTTCTTCATTGGAGTTTTAGATATAGCTGGGTTTGGTAAGTATGCTTCAAAAAAGGTGTTTTGCTTTGTTTTGTTTATCCTTCCTCTAGTTGGCTRTTATTGTCAGCAGAAATTTAGTGATAAATTTTAAAATAGTATGTGTCAGARTTTTATTTTTAGTAGTGGTGCATGGGGTGGTATACATGTACTGAAGAGAAGATCCAGAAGAAAATATATTTACACTCTGAAGCTTTTCTCACTTATTACTGTGCAATATGAACTCTTGAAACACTGGTTTATCACAGATATTTTAACTTCTATTTTATAGAATACTTTGAACACAACAGTTTTGAACAATTCTGTATTAACTACTGTAATGAAAAGCTGCAACAGTTTTTTAATGAAAGGATTCTGAAAGAGGTATGTTATATTTTGTTGTATCTGAGGCTCTTTTTTTATGTTTTTTAACTAAAATAGTAACATTTTMTGTAAGATTGCTCTTGTAGTTGACAAATTGTGCCTTCTTGCTCTTGTGACACCAGGTTGTGCTAGAAAGCTGAGTTGTGCTTTAGTCTTATGAAGAGTAGAATTACGAGTCTTATAAAGAGTACAAAGTACAAGAATTCGTACAAACTCAGATATGTTTCATTAACATCTGGCATCTAAAACCTACTAAGGACATCTACATGTGTATTTTTGTAGAGCATATAACTAAGGAGGTGAAGATAGAATATAATAAATTGTGCCAGAGGATTTACAAAGCACATATTTATTCATGCTGTATATAACAGTAATGCCTTTAGATATATTATAAATAAATAAAAACAATAYAGACAGAATGGTGTTTTCTGTTTCATAATCGGTATCTTTTTTTTGTTCAGGAACAAGAACTTTACCAAAAAGAAGGCCTGGGGGTTAATGAAGTGCACTATGTAGATAATCAGGACTGTATAGGTATGTACTTCTAGGAGTGTGAAGCTGTGTTAATATTCGGTAGTGCAAAGCTTAAAGCAGAGTCATTTATAAAGGTATATGTATGTTGTCAACATGCATGTCTGAAGTTTTTTTTTTACTTGCAGTTGTAGAATTGGGATCTTTTATATCACAAAGCAAAATTCTTAATATTACAGCTTTGTGTGTGTGTAAATTAATAACATGGCAGTTTCAGTTGGGAATGGAGCCATGTTGTCCTGCAACACATAGTAACTGCAGCTGGAACTTGTGATTTTTTTTTTTCTAAAGAAACTAATCAAAACACCCAAAACAGGATAAATGAAAGTTTCCTTTGGTATGAAATGATTAAGATCTATCATATGAGCWCACATATGCTGCTGCAGTACAAATATTAATCATTTTTTTCTTTCTGCATAAAAAATAAGTAGTAAAAAACCCTCTTAAAGAACAACTTCTAAGGTAATGTGGCAGAGGCTTTACAAGCTGTAAAATTCGTATGTGTCTGATAATTTCCAGAGCATAAATTGCTGTGTCAGTCTTAAAGTGCTTTTGTATTTTTATGTGAAAAATCAAAGCAATACACATGTAAAAAAAAATATGAAGGTACTATGGTATSCTCAGGTGTGATCTGTCTTAAAACGACATAATAAATATAATAAAATAAATAAATAAAATTAAATTAAAATAAAAAAAAAGGTGTGAGCTTCTTTGTACTTCTAGTTTCAATGTGAGATGAAACATTGATCAGAAGCTTACTTTTTTTGAATCACTATGAGTAATTATTCCATAAAGACCTATGCTGTACCACAAAACCATTTAGACACCTTTGAGGAGTTAGGTGATTCAGTGAGGAGAAAAGGACCTAAGAGGTTCAGTTTTTGTGTTCCTTGTTTTAAAGTTAAGGGTCTGATAATGTGTATGGAATATTGATTAAATTAACAATTCCAAGAGGTAAAATTTAATTTACAGTGACTGTTTATTATGAGAGCAASTTCACCTGGATACAGCTACACAGAAGCAGCCCTGTAGCATTTTAAACTTGTGATTTTTGCTGCCTGATATGTGATTATTAATTGAATTTTTGTAAAACTTTTTTAATAGATTTGATTGAAGCGAAGTTAATAGGTGTGCTAGATATTTTGGATGAAGAAAATCGACTTCCCCAACCAAGTGACCAGCATTTTACTTCAGTTGTTCACCAAAAACACAAGGACCATTTCAGACTCTGTGTGAGTTTATTTATTATATTTATGTTTAATAAAAATGAGTCCACAGAGCATTTGATAGTAAAACTTTCAATTTAATGAAAACCTTTTCTAACATAGCCCAAGCCACATCATTTTCCACGACTCATATTATTTGTCAAGGAAAAGCTTAGATGTAAGGTTTGTCAAAAAGTTCACTAAAGGTTTGCTAGGTCTTAACATATTCTGATATCCTGCTTAAACTGATTTTGTCTGCTTTCATCTGTACTTCATGTACTTCACGCAGGGGGAAATTCACCAGATCTTAGCAGTCTTGGCAAGTTTTATTTTGAATTGTGGCTCGTTCAGAGTTGAGGTAGCTAAGCATATGAATGGGAATGAAAACAGCAGGAAGTGTCATTTTAACGTATAGCACTCCCAGCAAAGCCTTGGTGTTGTCCTTATAATTCTCCTCGCTGTGCAAGGTAATTCTTTTTTGTAATTTTTAATTACAGATTCCRAGAAAGTCTAAATTGGCTGTTCACAGAAACATCAGAGATGATGAAGGCTTTATTATCCGGCATTTTGCAGGAGCAGTGTGCTATGAGACGGTAATCTTCTGCAAACTCACTTCTTATGCTTTCTGGTAGTCCTAGTTTTGTGAATATAGAGGCTGCAAATAAATTACTTTTCTTTTCATCATAATAGAAATTCAGAAAATKATTTGTGTTCTAGCTTTGAATCTAAATGTCATGATTGATCACAGAATTGGCAGGGTTCTTTTTTAAGCTTAAATTTCAGAATGTTCTGTTGAGACATGTAACAAATGCTTGTTACATTTAATGGTGTCAATATTAATATACTGATTTCTTGGACTGCTGCAAAATCTTACATCAACAGAAGTTTGCGTCTTCAGGAGAGGAGCGCACCATTATATATAAATACTGATAGGCYGAACAGTAACTTTCAGAAGCATGCTTCTCCATGGCTCTTTAGTTTTTTGTTAAAAAAATCACATAAATCACTTTGCTTTTTCTGTGTTCCAATAGAATTATTCATGCAAGGGCATAAAATATCTGAATTTTTCATTCTTARAATACATGCTGGATTCTTAAACTTTTATATGACTATTCATCATACAAAACCATTGAAATGCCCTAAATAAGTAACTGAAACAATTTTTTGAAATTTATGCGTTAAATATATGAAATATATGAAATATATTTGGAAATAAATGTTCATAGTCCACCAAATCACTATTAAAATTGCACCAAAAGCTAATAAGATTTTTGGGGGGTGAGATTTGTTACTGGTTTCTCAATCTCTGAAGGTCAATTTAATGCTTTGCTACTGAATTTTAAAAAGTTAGCTAATTTAGATAAACRAAAGAGGTGAGGTTTGTAAGAAGGGGCTGAAACCTTTTATTTYAGCAGCTATCCTAAATAGTTGTAATGTAACAGTACTACTAAAATAATCATTTCATTTGCCAAAACTCTAGATTCATCAGTGAAAGTGTTCAGGTTAGTTCTTCTTTCACRGGGGATTTTAAATGGCTTTACAAATGATAAAGAATTAAGCTTCCCAGTAGTCCCAAGTGATGAGGTGTTGTGAGCTGGAAGTGGAGATAGGCAGTATAATCACTGKCAAAAGCACAACTGATTTCTTAAAGATACTTGGCCTTGCCATGGGTCTCATGGTTCCATCAGCATCCTTCAAATTTAAGAATGCATGTTCTTTGTTGTCATTAGTATTTTAAATGTCCCATTGAAAAGTCATTTGAATAATGTACAAATATTTATTCCTCAATTCTCGCTGACTTTGAATTAAGCATATAACTTTGTTTTTCTTATAATTTTCTTTAAGACCTGTCGGCTCAGGGTTGTGAAACAATTTATTTCTTGGGTTGTCTTTTCAGACGCAGTTTGTGGAGAAGAATAATGATGCTTTGCACATGTCCCTTGAATCTCTTATATGTGAGTCCAAGGACAAGTTTGTTCGACAGCTCTTTGAATCTAATACCACCAACAACAAGGATCCGAAACAGAAAGCAGGGAAACTTAATTTCATCAGTGTTGGAAACAAATTCAAGGTAAAACAGTAGAGCAAAGAATTTGTTTTCTTCTGAAATGTGCTACTCCTAAATTATCTGAACCCAAGGATGGGAGAACTAGTGATCAGTTGAGATCCATATAAAGAAAACTCTTCTAAATAGATATTTTTCCTGTCAAAGTRTAAGAAGTCAGTGTATTCAAGTTAAATGATACCCATTTCCCTCAAAAAGACTTTTGAAAATAGTCCTTGTAGAGATTATTCAGTAATTCAGAAGTCATGATTTTGCAAGGACACAAGGAAATCTTGATTTTGAAGGTCTAAAATTTTGATTCTGTGGCCTCTGAGAGCTTCTTTGCTTGACAAAAGGTGTTCTTCCATCCTGTCTTAATTTGTACTGTAGGAGATGCAACAATTGGGCTACAGTTTGCCATTCTCAGAATTCACCACTAAAATAACCACTGTAAAATATTGTTAAGATAGTAATTGCTTTCCCAGAAGTATATTCATTGTGCTGAACGGTTCCTTTCTCAATACCTGAATCTCATGCTTCTCCTCATTTTCTCCTTTCTTCTGCTTGTTGTAAAGCTGACCTTCAAACCTTGTCTTCTCCAATTGTTTTCTGCATCCCTTTCTCATTCAGCAGTTTTATTTTAGCTGGACTATTCCAGCTCAGGATGGCTAGAAAAGAGAACTGTAGGGGAATTGTGAGAGGAAAAGCTGGCACAACCATGTGCTGCAGGTAAAGTTTTCAATCTCATGGACTTATTATTGATAGAGTTGCTGAAATTTCGGCAAGAGTTCTTCTCAGCACATCTGGGCCAGATCCAATGAAGGATTTAGATGCCTTCAAATCAGGTGCTGCAACATTTTGGTTTGCTACCTTAGCTAAGGCCCCTGCAACCTCAAAATCACATTGGTAGACAACTGTTGTGATCTGCTCTTGGCGACAKCAGGACAATCCAAAAAGACACAGGCTGAGTGATTAATAAAAACAGACYTTTTCTCCATTCCTGCTCCTTCTCAAGGTTACATGCATGAATCAGGGCGGTGAGATTTCTTCTTTCAGAATTATATCTGCTGACTTAGTGTTTACAGTGGTTCTATAAGAATGCAGAGTCTGAAAGGAAAAGAAAGGATGCTACCCACACTTGTTTTACATGTAGCAGCTGTAAACTGCTGCAGTATTAAGTGTTTTATCTCCAATATATTTTCCTTAGCAAACAGCTATTGACTATTCTGCCAGAGGTGATCTTCCTCATTCCCTCTGGAGCTGAGCTGTTACACAGCAAAAAAKAAGATTTTGATGGGGCCAGGAAGAGTATAAGAGTTGTAGTGCAGTAGCTTTGGTTTTTACTGGAAATTGGACCGCCTTTTCCCTGAGTTTTACTGTCAGGATTATTTCTTCCTCCTCTTCCTTACAACTCAGTGGTTGTAGAATTATCCTGTAGCTGTTATTTTAATACAAAATGCCTGAAGAGAAAGCAGCCTGAAAGCAGAAATGCATAAAGATACCCAGCTTCCTGAACAAGACCTGCAACCGTGCCATGTCTGTTGTAAGGGAAGCTGGGATAGTGTTCAGAGCTTTTATTACTGCACTTTGAAAGTGCAAGCGACTGCAGGAGCTGTGAGATGATTTCTACCTKGAGAACCCTTTGGGTTCTCAATTCCTTTTGGCTTGAGCTCTGCACATCAGTTGCTATGGACAGATGATTGGATACTGTTTCCCAAGGAGAGGGTAGAGCAAAAAGGAAAACGTTTAAGTTAAGCAGCAACGGAGTGGGAGACTTTCTGAATTGTGTCTTGGACTCCAGTGTTCACCTCTGCACCTAGAACATGACTAAAGTCCTTTTTGGATCTGGCCCACCAATCTATAATTCTGTGAATGTTTTCAACTTTCATGGCATTTTGAATGTATGTGTTACTTCCAGTAATTCATTTAGTGTTACCTTCCCAGACAAAGCACATGCTACTGATGAACACTAATAGCCTTGAAAATTTCACTTCATGTGGCATAAGAATATGTTTTCTTAGCTGCATGAAAGTTTCAGCTCTTCAATTTTTTTTAATGTTTCAGTATATGTCACTCTAGAACTCCTCTAACTGCATCACTTATTAGATGGTATTGCAGATACTTCTCTTTGCAAAATTCTTAACAACATCCTTTCCTTATAACTAATTAAAATTAATTCATGTAAGCCAGCTGAGGAAATGATGAACTAATTTATCACATCTATTCAAGAGTTTGGGCTATAATTTTACCCTAATATGATAATGATGGATTAAAATGCAATAATTCACAGCAGCAGTAGTTTTAGTAATCTTCCTTATTCATATGATCATTTCATTATTGAAACTAATTAGTGACTCTGGCTTATTTCTTATCAAATTGTGAACATCCAGGGGGTATAAGGAGGTGTATTTTGCTCTAGCCAGAACTATCTTTTGATGGTAGAAATTAGGCTGTTTCTTCAAAAATAAAGCATCAGAAATTTAAGAAAGCATGAAAATTACATGCAAAGGAGCTATAAAAGTATTTATCAGTGAGAACTGAGGAGGTTATCAGTGTTTATCATGCACCTTATGGCACTCCCTCCCCTTTCTAACCGTACACATGCAAAGTAAAAAACACATTTTTATCCACTGGAAGGAAGACTGGCAGCTCTAGGTGCAGCGTATCTGCTGGTACAAATCTGACTTCTGGGATTCAAGGTAATTTAAAAATCTGGTTGCACACAAAGAAAAGTCAAAAGTCATATACTTTTGATTTGATTTTAATACAGAAAATGAGGATTATATTAAGGTGTTTAGAATTCTATCTTACATTAATCTACATAGTTGATTTTATGAGTGAACTAGACTGTCATAATAGTAATTTATATAGTACAACAGGCATATCTATAAAGCATAACTCTTATTTTTGATATGGTTCTGAAATATTTAAGCCCCCCCCCTAAGTATGTTCAAGAGCAATTAACTCTCTTTCCCTCATAGTGTTAGTACTATACTGTTTTTCCAAACCATCAACTTCTGTCTGCTGTCACCACAAATTGCTTAAATCCAGCCTGAGTAAATGTAGTTTAAAATTAGGACTGTACTCCATTTAATTTTCAGCAAAGGAGTTTGGAATAAAAATAAATAAGTGGGTAATGACCTGTAAAGGAAATTGAGCATATCTGTTAAATGTGTAAATTATAAAGATATATATAAAGGTATATATTTGATATAGATTAAATTTGGGTTTTCAAAATTTTAATGACTTTTTCTATCACTGCTGGTCAGTCTCATTTCCTGTATAACTCTTTTGGATTTTTTAAATATATGTATTATTTCCTTTATTTTTCCCCAATGGATTTCCATTTTTTTTTGTTAGCCAAATTTCAGTCTCATACACATGGTATTGGTAAATTCAACACAAGCTCTTYCCTCAGGATCATTCATGCACTCTTGCATGATTTTGTCTGTTAAAGATTTGTGAGCATTTGATTTATCAGTTTTGTCTTATCTACTAACAATCAACATGCATGTGGTAATGTGGTCTCGCTGTACAGTTTGCCTGGTTTCTTAAGTATCATGCAAGATACTCCATGGCAGTCTTTTGAAATACCTGTTTCCTTTTGCAGACTCAGTTAAATTTGCTTCTTGAGAAGCTCCACAGTACTGTAAGTATAAATACAGATGCCAATTCATTATTTTTTCTTCCCAGTGCTTCTCACATAAGTAGTAATCAGTCATCTCAACAAAGTGGCTTCAATTAAATGTCTCGTAATAAAAAATAACTTCAGATTTTGCACTTATGTGGTGCTTCTGAATTGTCTTGCTGTGCAGCTTRTGGGTGTCGATTTGTTTTCTTTTCAAGGGGATGGAAATTTTATTGTTGAACAAAAGTTATCCCATTTAACAGTGTCATATCCTACTTAAATCCTTCAAGGCTACAATGTCCTTTTCTGTTAGTTTCAGTTTCTTCCTTTCACTGCTCATTGTTGATGACTTAATCCGCAGAAGATTTAGAGTTGTGCTTAAAAGTAAGATAGCCAGTGTATTAATAACTTCCGATTTTATGTTCCATAATGTAGTTTAAGATGTTTCAAGTCCTTTTTCTGATGTCCCTGACATCAGGAGGTCATTAAGATGTCCCCTATTACGTGAATTCTGGAGAACTGAAATGTTTAGCTGATACAGCTGTAAAGATGATGAGTGTAGTAGAAACTGGAGTGGTACATCATAAGTAGATTTTTTTTTTTTTTTTGTAGTGGTAAGAAATGAAACTCAAAAGTTGAGGTGTCAATTAATAGCTTCAGCATTGAGATCAGTTAAGTTTTTAGAAAKATGTTATTTTACTTTTTTTATTCACTAATTCTTAAGCAATTGTTGCACGATTTTAAACTTCCTGAAATAGATTCTGCTAACCTGCCCTTTTGACAATAGGGATCAAGCTTTATTCGCTGCATCAAACCCAATTTAAAGATGACAAGTCACCATTTTGAAGGAGGACAGATCCTCTCTCAGCTCCAGTGTTCAGGTAATGTGTGCATCTGATAGTTCCCCCCTTCCTCCCACCCTTCTTTATTCTTTGGAGTGTTGTGGTTTGACCTAAATCTGAAATACGTGAAATGAAAACAGTATATTTACTAACTTGAGCTGTTGTTTTCTAGAAGGTGAGTTATTTAGGTCTTTCAAACACTAATTTTGATTCTAAGTAGCTGAGGCTCCTATTTTAGTCAAAGGAGCTGTAGTTAATGCAGCCTAGGAAGTGATTCCTATGAGCAGCCATAAGACCTCTCCTTTGCCAGCAGAGTTATCTTCATCAACTGCTTCTCTCTTGATTTTTGAGAGTGTAGATACTGCATACATGATATTGGGCCATGTATTTGGATTTAAATTTACATTTACTGATCTGGAGCTGAATCCCATTTCTCAGTGTTCGGGCCACAACGTTACTAGGTCAGCAACTCAGTTCAGAACCACAGAATTCCTTTGACTTCCTCTGGCAAGCAAAGTATTAGAAACTCACGTGTGCACTTAGAGACAGTTACTGTTAGCTCAGGTATGTAAAATAATGAAGCAGGTCAGTTTTTTTCCATTTGCTTCAAAAACTGGAGTCAAGTAAGTTTTACTTTTTCAAAATTACTTTATACCATTATTAAATTGATTTGGAACTAAACTTTCAACAGTGGGACTGCAGTATAATGTTTCCTATTATGTTATGTACTGTAGTGTTAGTGTGATGCTGTGTTTTCCTTATACTTGAAATGCTAGGTGCTTTCCAATTTTCTAGCTTTATTTTCCTCATTTCCTATATTTTTGTCTCTTAATATTTTCATCCTCTTGAAAATTTTTCTTTTTTTTTTTTTTTTTTCACTTTTGGAAGTCAAGAGACATTTCCAGGTTTTGCAGCTGCTGCTTTACCAAGTCACCATATCATGTTACATTGCAGTCACAAAGACTTAGCAACTTTTCAGCGATTAGGATTTCATTAGCATTATTATCAGTTGTTTTTTTAGGTTAGGCATGTGACATGTAAAAGACAGAAAAGTAAGAAATGAACTTGTTTTATGTTCCATGATAACAATTGTAATATTTTATAATAGACTTACAAGTTTAGTTTTCTTGGTGTCCTACTTCAGCTCCTATTTAAATGAAGATCAACATAGTAAAACAAAAGACACTAAAAAAAMCAGCTTTTTAAGAACATAGTAACAAACAACATAGTAAAAAAATGTAACAGAGAAATGTTAAAAAAAAAGTGACATCAACAGAAAATCCGCTGTAAATGGTAAAATATCAAAATAGTGTTTGAGGAATTAAAATTACATCTTGACAACTGATACYTAATACAGCAAGAACATGTGCTGCAAGTGCACTTGTATTAGGCACTTTTTAGTAAAGTTGATGACATCAACTTTGGTAAAGATGCCATCATGAAGAAATGCCAGAGGCTTGGTTGATTTTTTGATGAATTGGGTTTGGAACAATATTTTTGAGGCTTTGTCATGAACTACTGTTTATCATAAAAATCACTGCTTTGTTTGCATTTTGCAAGGACCAGCTTTTATGTGTATGTGTTCTTATGAACGTAGGAATGGTGTCTGTTTTGGACTTAATGCAAGGTGGTTTCCCTTCACGAGCTTCATTTCATGAACTCTATAATATGTACAAGAAATATTTGCCTGAAAAATTGGCTCGATTGGATCCTAGGTTGTTCTGCAAGGTAAGCTAGAAATTAATTCTTCTGCCATACCATCAAGGGCAGAAAATATATTCTGTATGTTTTGGGGGGAAGGGATTTTTGGAGGAGAAAGATAACAAAATCTTTTTGTTGTTTTGTTTTGTTTTCCTCCCTTTGTTTCAGGCACTATTTAAAGCCTTAGGATTGAATGAAATAGATTACAAATTTGGGTTAACCAAGGTGTTTTTTAGACCTGGCAAGGTAATGTGGCTTTTCTTCTTTTATTTAGAGTTTATGAATRTGAATCAAAGAATAATTAACTTTGAAAGGGACCTCTGAAGGTTACTTGGTCAACACTTTTCTTAAAGTAGGGCCAACTTAAATAATGTTGTTCAGAGCCTTTTGTAAATACTGATGAGTTCCTATGGAAGGAGAAAAAGGAACTCCTCATAGTTTTGTTGCTAGTTGCTATATTTTTAAAASAATATTTGTTGCTTTGTATTTCACAAGTTTTCCTGTGTATAAGTCACTTAGAAATGTATTTAGGACTACTAAAAAGAGCAAGTCAGAAGAAGGAAATTTCCACTAAAATGTTCATATAGCTGAAATCTCTTCCTATGATCATGAATACTGCTGTTGCTACGGCAGAGAAAGAAGTAGATGGTGACTGTGACTGGAAAGGAAACTTAGTTATAGCTGCAGAACAGCGTTCTTACTGTCATAATTATCCATGAGTAGAAATGCAGGRTTTTCAGAGAAGTTTGCCTTTAGTTGGACTTGTACACGAAGATGTAAAAAATTAAGCAAATTAAGTTTTCAAGGCTTTCATTTTTCATTAAATGCAGAATTTGAGTTATCTTACAATTATGGAACTCCAGAGTGATTATTTAGAAAGTAGAAAACCAAATCATTCCTTAAAATATCRTCAGTAAATTTTAATTTTTAATGATTAAAAACTGTTTGAATTGTTCAAAACCTCAAGCATTTCACATCAATTAAAAAAATAGAACCACCAATTCTGTTATCAGAATTATAACTGAAGATATTCATAGCAGCTTGTCTGAATTAACCTAGTGGATAGTTCATTGTTTTGTTTGCATTAAAAATATCATCCTTGGTTTGCTGTTAAATAATGTCTAGCACTTTCTATTCTCATTTGTAAATCTGATTTTGTATTTAGTTTGCAGAGTTTGATCAAATAATGAAGTCAGATCCGGATCATTTAGCAGAGCTAGTTAAACGAGTCAATCACTGGCTTATCTGCAGTCGCTGGAAAAAAGTTCAGTGGTGTTCTCTCTCTGTGATAAAATGTATGTATTTTATATTTTAATGGTTGCTAGAAATATAGCAAAGCAGTTAGCAATAGCAGTTAGCAATATAGCAGTTAGCAGTTACTGTGTTAGGTAAATATAGGAGGGCTTAAAGTGGATGCTTATAAAAGTGGTKCTGGTTGGGCTGTATCTCCCAGCCACCTGTGTCCAGGCTGCTTAAATTGTTTGTGAAGCCTGGCAAACACTTGCATGGGAATAACCACCAGTTAAAGTTCTTGGGGAGACTCTTTGACATTGGCAGCAAAGAGCAGCAGTTTCAACTCTGAGCTGACAGCACAGAGCCGTTTAGTTGACCTTTGAGGAACTGGCTGCATAGAAATTGTTAATGTTCAGGCAGTAGCAGCACATTTGGAAACACTGTCATGAATCTTGGGGCAAATGTGTCTGTTCCWGGAGTTACTATTGATTAACAAGTAAGTGCAGGTCACTACTGATGTGCTCTGCCTAAGTACTCGGCCTGCTTTGCTCCCTGTGCAGTGGCAGCAGGGCAGTGATAACTTGGTTCTGCCGAACTGGGTCCCTAGAGATGCCTGTTTGCCCCCACTCAAGASTTGTGGATTCTGCTGTCTACTGCGACCTAACAGAGCTAGTTTCGAGTACAGATTGTCTGCATRCAGTTTGAACTATTGAGTGTGTGAGTAATACAGAAAACATAGGAGTTCTGTTGAATTGTTTAAGCCATTGAGACTCAGYCATTCTTTTTGTGTTGCAGTGAAAAACAAGATAAAATACCGAGCTGGAGCCTGCATTAAAATACAAAAGACTATTCGAATGTGGCTTTGCAAGAGAAAGCACAAGCCGCGGTAAGAGATTATTCACTTGGTTGAGTCTCTTGCTTGTAGAAAATGTCTATTTTAAAACAGGTTCTTCTGAATGTAAGAGTTCTGCTATGCTTAACCAAGTATATCCACAGTCATAGAATGATATATGATTGAAAGGGGCTTTGACCGGTGCTGCCTTCTAGTTGTGTTGCCCAAGGATGAATTAACTGAATCTGACCCTTTCATAAGAGATGTTCAGYTTATTCATAGACCTCTGCAGTGACAACTGAGTAGGGCTAATAACAGAGCTAAATCTTTCCTTAGGTAATTCAGGACTTTCTGACCTTTAATCATTCTCATTTTCCTCTGTAGCCCTCCTTTCTTCCACTTCTGAGCAGTAATTGTGTGTTCTCTCTCTCTTTCCGTCTTGAAGTTAAGTAGCTGTTAGCGTTAACGTTATTGCACRGAATACTTATGGAATAAACTTTGGCTATTAAGCACTCCGGTCATTATTGTTCTTTAGTAAAGACCCAACACTCTGTCTGTCCTTACAAAATGTTTTCTTTTACATCCTTTGATACTTAGGCATTTTACCTTGTTGCTTCTGTTCATTTCCCTAAATCCTTATGCTCTTCTTCTATGCTCATCTTCAGTGATTCGATTTAGTTTCTACTTGTGGTTTTTCCTGAATATCTGTTCAGTGACTTCTTTCTTCCTAGACCTTCTGTATAGATTTATAACTTGACCTTCAATATTATTTCTTAAAGGAGCTTTCCTGGACTTTCTTTCTCTTTTCCCAGCCTTTTTTTCCTTTTTTATTCTTTTTTTCCTGTGGGATTTGAGGACTCATTATAAAATCAGAACTATACATCTATAAACTAATCTGAAGATGCATTAAACTGTCTTTCATTCACAGAATTGATGGCTTGGTAAAAGTGCGTACGCTGAAAAAGAGACTTGATAAGTTTAATGAAGTGGTAAATGCTCTGAAGGAGGGGAAGGCAGAGACAAGCAAGCAGGTCAAGGAGCTGGAATATTCCATTGATGCTTCAATGACCAAAATTAAGGTATGCCATTAACCAGAGAAATGGCCTCTAATTACTGAAATCTATTAAAACTTAATTTCAAATGGATGGTGGACTTTGTTTGTTTTGTTTAAGAAGAGAATGCACTCTGGACAAAGATTTTATGTTGAAATGTCTTGCTCTAGACATCTGTGGTAGGGGCCTCATTTTTCAGAGTCACTGGACACTTCTAAATCCTATTTGGAGTTACTTGTGAATGTAGCTGAAATGAGTCCTAAAATTGGATGCATAAATCTTCATCTGTGTTTCAATATGCGGTGACACTATGAGATTGGTGTGGTTAATAATTTGCTTGTTGCATTTATTCCCAGTGATGTGTATTAGCAGTATTTTAAATTAATCAGGGCTGAAACTTGAACAGTTTAATAGTAATAATAAAATAACATGCTGGGTTTTAAATTGGTCAAAATGTATAGTTCCCTTCTCTAATAGAAATAAGCCAAAGTGACTGTTTGCCTCAAAAAGGGTCACCAAACATCCCACGTCACGCTTGCTTATCGTCTTTTTGTTGTTTTCCTCTGTCTGTCTCAACACAAAGAGTAAAGGAAAATTGAGAAAGTGAAATTAAGCTTTAGCAGCCAGTTAGATTTGGAAAGATATGGAACAAGGGTCATTGCTTTATTAAATATTTTCATCATGTTATTTGCTACTTGCTTCATTTTAAAAATATTTTAAAAAWTTTTCTATTGTACTCCATTATTTTTACCATAGGTGCTACCATAATAAGAGAGCATATTCTGTGCTTTCATATATAACATGAAATTATTAATGATGCAGCTAAGTTAGAATGCACATAGAAGCTCCAAGCTCTCAAGATGGTAAAGTTTAATTTCTGTTGCTTAAAAATRACAGGTTTCAGAACTGAGGGCAACTTTTAAAGAGAAGTCCTGCCCGGAGCCAGTGATAAAAATAAAAACTACTTTCTATGGTTTTAAATGAAAGAAAAAAGTAATGTATCCACAGAATTTAAGAAAGAAACACAGAAAGGTTGAAAGGTTGAGGACCTCTAGACATCTGGTCCAACCCCTCTGCTCCAGCAGGGACACCCAGAGCACGGGGCACAGGGCGACATCCAGGCGGGTTTGGAAGATCTMCAGAGAAGGAGACTCCACARCCTCCCTRGGCAGYCTGTTYCAGGGCTCTGTCACCCTCACAACCACAAAGTTTTTCCTCCTATTCAGGCAGAGCTTCCTGTGTTTCAGTGGCCATTGCCTCTTGTCCCACCACTGACTGCCACTGAAAAGAGTCTGGCCTCATCATCTTAAGAAGTGACGATGAACACCACCAGGAGAAGTGGTGTTTCTCCTCCACTGCTCTCTATATAAGTTCATTGTAGTGCTCAGTGTTTTCATAGCACTTTGTATAATTTTTAAAAGATGAAGTACAAACTCAAAGGAATATTCTCCCTTCTTATATTTTCATTCTACAGACCACTATAATGACAAGAGAACAGATACAGAAAGAATATGATGCTCTAGTTAGAAGCTCTGAGCAGCTTCTGAGTGCTCTGCAGAAAAAGAAACAGCAAGAGGAAGAAGCAGAGAGGCTGCGACGCATTCAGGAGGAAATGGAAAAAGAAAGGAGGAGACGTGAAGAGGAGGAGCAACGCCGAAGAAAGGAAGAAGAGGAAAGGCGTTTGTGAGTGTGGGCTAAGTTGCTACTTCTGAAATCAGAAGTGAATTGGAAAGGCACTTTGATGAACTTGTCTTTAATATTTTTTCCTCTAAATATTTACATTGTACGGATGGTCAGAAGAGAGTAGGGAAGAGATAATATGAAGCAACAGGGAATATCGTCAAACTTGGAAAGTTTCTTGACTTTATGTATATTGTCTTTTCAGCAGAACAGTACTGAATTCTGGATTACTGTTTAGTTTTATGGAAGATGCCTTCACATTTCTTGTTCATTTGCATCGTAATATAATTAGCAAAAGATATTTTTAAAATTCATCTTCCCTTTCCCTCCCTTGCTTTTGTAATAGGAAATCAGAGATTGAGGCAAAGAGAAAACAGGAAGAGGAAGAGAGGAAAAAGAGGGAAGAGGAAGAAAAACGTATGCAGGTAATGTTTACCTTTATTTTCCAAAAAAATCTTTTCTACAACTTAACATTCTCCACCTGAAACTACTGTGTCTAATAGCGTAATTTTGTAAATGGGTCTCAAATTTGTATAACAGTGTTGTATTTGACAGTATTTAATTTAATCCAACTATCTAGAAATAGCCCTACGTTATGCTTGTTTATTTTTAACTGCAAATATTGTAAATCTTTTTAGTAATACCTGTGTTGCAGCAGTGCTCTTGCTTACAGATAAACTCTTGTTGGCATTTACTAGATTGGGGACTAGCAGTTTCCCAGCTGGGACTGGGAGACAGTTGAAAGCTCACAGATTTTATAGACCAAAATTGTCAACTACTGTAAACAGACTAAAACTACTCGGTTGTAGGTTTAATTTTTCAAATGCCAGATCTCATAAGCTCACTGAAGTGTCAAGCTTTACTGTACTAATCTCATAAATAGAAATAGTCCATTTGTAATAGGTAGTTTTTAGTATACTACATTCCCACATTATTTTATTGCTAAATTTTGGTAGAGTACTGAAGCTAGGATGTTCCAGGTGCAATTTGGAATTATGTAATTATACCTAAACAGTAGATTATTTGTCAGTAAGCTACTATTCAGATCACATATACAGAAGTCAAAGCTGAATTCAGGCTGAAAACTGGGTTAGATACCAGTTTAACTGTAAATGGTTTGGGAATATTGGTAATAATCATAGGATCATAGAATTTTAGAACCCATAAAGTTGAAAGGGACCTCTAGATATCATCTCTTACCTTTAGTAAMCTGGTACATGTGATTGGGTAAAATCCCTGCAGTTCAAGCCCTGCTCCTTGTGCCTTCGCTGCTGGCATTTGCTCCCACGCTGTCACTCAGAGGCACATTAGGACCCTCATCCCCKTGGCCTCTTGCTTTTTGACCTTGGCAGAGAGGAAGAACTCTCCTTCAGTGACCATTGTAACAACTGACAGGACAGGAGTTTTAAAAACTTGATCTGCCAGTGCATATGCATTTTTCTAAGGATAGCCTTTTTTTTTTTTTAATAACATTTTTAGATCTTTATATTTTCTTTATATTTTGTATTTTTATATTTTATTGTATTTTTATTTCTTTGTTTCTGCCATGTGTTGTATTTATAATTCAGGATGTAATTACGCTTAGAAACACTGCATTCTAGTTTTAAAGCAGGTAGGTAATTCTGGAGGGCATTTCTTTCTTCTGCATACAATTTATTACTTATTATCTCTCCATTTTTTGGTTGGTGCTGTTAGTTAATCTAGGATTCACAGAGAGGACCTCTGGTGTTACGTGCAAATTCACCATGACCAGCAGGGAGTGGCTTTTGCTTCTTGCCTTTTTGGCCCGGAGAAAAGCATTGCCAAGAAAGGCATTGCCAAAAGTTGGCATGTTTGGAAAATTTATATTGAATGATCAAATTTTATTTATTTTGCGTGCAAAACCTTTGTTAAATAATGATGGTAAGACAGGATTATAGTGTTGCTCTGCAGAGGCAATATATCTGGATGGTTTCCTCACTGCAGGCAGCCAGAATTATGCCAGTTCCTTAAATCTGGGGACAGATCAGGTATAAAGCTACAGACTTGGATACAATATAATGCTTACTGCTAAGTCTTATAAATGCCAAATGACAAWTTCAGTATATATTGAGGACTAATCATACTACTCATCTGAGTTTTACTAATTCTAAAAATTTCTCAAACCTAATTTTCATAATTAGTAAAGTAGYTGAGGAAAAACTTGATGTGTTTTTTATATAGCAGTGATTGAGATTTTAGTTGGAATAAGTAATTCAAATGATGAGCTCTAGTGGTGTGATAAACTATATGAGAAACAAGATGCAATCTGTAGCTTTTGTCTTTGTCTTAAATCACTTTAGAAACTGATCCTGTTTTTTGTTTTTTTAGTTCTAGTTTGGCATGCAAGCTGTAAATCTGTTGTTACACATGTTTCTAACCACTTACTTAAGTGATATTTTGCTTTTGCTTGGGTAAGATTAAAATTTTTTTTGTTTGTATAAAACAGGCTGAAATTGAGGCTCAGCTTGCCAAAGAACGTGAAGAAGAAACACAGCACCAGGCGGTTCTTGAACAGGAGCGTCGTGATCGTGAACTTGCCATGAGAATTGCCCAGAGCGAGGCAGAGCTCATAAGTGATGAGGCACAGCTGGATTTAGGATTGCGGAGGTATGGATCTCAATGTTTGAATTTCTGCTTTTGCTTTTCTGTAGCTGCTTTCTCTGAGAATGCTATAGTTTGTTTTATGTGGTTATATATTAACTGAATAGCCCTTTCAAGTGAACAGATTCATTTTTTTTTCTGAAAATTAACTTGTCAAATTCATTTAAAACCGCTCGTTTCTGCTAAGAGTTTCCCCATTGTGCTAATTGCTACCTCTGTGATTTAAGTTTATGTGGATATGACTGCAATTTTATGGGAAAGCATCATGTTAAATAAAACAAAACCTCATCCCATTTCTCTTTCTCTYCTTGGATCCTGGTGAGGATGACAACTGATTCATGATTTTTATGACCCATTCAAAGTAGGGACTAGAATTTCTTTAATGGTTAGCAAGAATAAAATGTAGAATTTCTRATACTTGAAGGTTTATTATTTATTTACTTTATCTAATTTTTAATTAATTTTAAGATGCCCTCTTAAGGCTGAAATAATGCTTATTTCTGTATCCTAACTGGTGAGTTTTAATAGCACAGAAAGGATATATTTAACATGATTGGTTTTGAAAATTTAACCTCRTTTTACATATTTCATCATTGCTGCATTGGTGGAATTTCCTGAGGAGTCACTGCGTGACTTCATGTGCAGATTCATCTTGCCTGCAGAGCAAGACTTCCTTGTGTATAAAGGGTGAATCCACAGAAGCTGTATTACCAGYRAATATAAATATATGKGTRTATATATGTGTGTGTGTATGTATGCATATGTGTATGTGTGTACGTAAAATTGATATGTGTTTTAACTGTGGTTGGTTGTGCGCCTTTGTTCTCAAAGTATTTTTAGGATGTGTTCTGCATACAGTTCTTCTTGGGTGATACTATAGAAGGACGTTTGTTTCTTGACAGTTAAAAGCTTATGAAAGGAACTTTCTTTTGTTTACATGTAAGTGGTTCTGATTTCAGATTAGTTATTTCAAGTATGATCAAGATTTATATAATTCTTATATATTTATATATTAAGCATGTGTGCATACAGGCACATATATATACTTGTAAATATCCATGTGATTTAATGAAATTTTACTGTCCAGCCTTAACAGTTTCTAAAGGCTCTGTACATTATTTGGGATTCAATGGAAAGTGAATCAGGGATTTTGCCTTTCTTTGTTATGAATCAGCTGCCATTTAGGGGCTTACCAGTATGGTTATGCCATTGGCTCGTTACATGATGCAAAAAAAACCTTCATGGATGAACATTTCTAGCGAGTTCAACCTCTCAGCTATTATGTTTGCTGCTCAGAGTTTTATTTAAATGCATAATGTTTCATAACTGAATCCCTCTGTGACCTTCCTAGGTAATTTTTTGTCAAGTGCCATATTAACTTGTAAAAGCTACCGCCAAAATTACTAGTGTTTTTGCTCCTAGTTGTCATAAAATAACTAGGTTATTATCTTAGATGTGACTCTTAAGATGGTCAATTGGTCCAAGCTGATCACTTTACAGGCCATGTTCTTGAAGATTTTTCCTTTTTTTCCTGTTTGGATTCCGGTGCAATGTGGAACTTGGAAGATGAAATTCATTGTAGCATTGCAACCTGGCAGGTCAAGAGAGGTGATCATCCATCGCCCTCTACTCAGCCCTGGTGAGGCCACATCTGGAGCACTGTGGCCAGTGTTGGGCTCCCCAGTACAAGAGGGATGTGGAGCTGCTGGAGAGAGTCCAGCGCAGGGCTACCAGGATGATCAGGGGCCTGGAACATCTGCCCTATGAGCAAAGGCTGAGGGAGCTGGGTCTGTTCAGCCTGGAGAAGAGAAGGCTGAGGGGGGGACCTCATCAGCGTGTATAAATACCTCAAGGGAGGCAGTGAGAAGCACGGGGYGGCCTCTTTTCAGTGGTGGCCAGCGATAGGACAAGAGAAAATGGCCACAAACCGAAGCACCAAAAGTTCCACAGGAATGTGAGGAAAAATTTCCTGGTAGTGAKGGTGACAGAGCCCTGGAACAGGCTGCCCAAGGAGGCTGTGGAATCTCCTTCTCTGGAGATCTTCCAAACCTACCTGGATGCAGCCCCATGCTCTGGGTGACCCTGCCAGAGCCAGCGGGGGTTGGACTAGACTGGACTAAAAGTGCCTTCCAACCATAAATTTACCTTCTTTTAAGGTAATAATTAGGTGTAGTTTCTTTTAGAAGTATACTCATTGATGTTTGTCAAAGAAAAATAGCCTGAAACAGTTCTGGCAACTGTTTCATCTCTTTCACTTGTGGTGTTCTGGGCTTACTATGCTGGACTTCTTGAGGTTCGTAGAATTCTCCAAAATTGAGAAGCCCTTGTGCTAAGGGATTTACTGAACACATGTGTAAATTAGCAGACATGATTAACAATTGAGCAGAAGTTACAATTAAACAATAGAGTTGTCTATTTTAATCTGTGCAATTTTTTGATAAATGAGTGGGTATGTGGTGGTGGTGATAGGAGTAATACARTGACCAACCATTTCCTCCTCCAGATCATTAGAAGACCAGTTAGGAACTAACTACCTAGTTCTCCCTAACATAAATATCTTCTATTTGCAGAGCCAATGGAACAAAGCCACAAATGACTGCGTATGATATTTATTTTTTCAACTCAAATATGCTAATAGAAAAGAATCTAACACTAATTAATTCAAAGGAAATTGATACTGTCCTCTCATAACTAGTACTTCTATAATAATCTTTATTAGACCACACTGTAAAATACCAGTAATTTGTTAAAATTTATACCCCCTGCTTTCCTTATATCTAATATACAAGTTAATAGTAAACTAATAAACTTWAAATGAATATTATTAGATTTATTATAATTAGTGTATATTTTTCACCAGCCATTTTTAMCCTCCTACATGATTTATTCCATTATAACAACGAATCGGAATTCTCTCTCTCTCTCCCTCCTTCTCTCTCTAYGTGTGTGTATGTATATGTACACACACATACACAAGAACTGTTATTACATAAAATTAGCATCTGTTTATTTTCTGTGTTTGAATTAGCTTCAGTTATGTTGTCAAAAGACTATTAYAGTCAAAAAGTCTGTTTTCCCAATATATTGGGTTTATGCTTACTTACCATTTTTTTTATAGGGAACAAATGGCCACAGAAATGTCAGAAATATTGTCTAGGTAGGTGAAAAGACAACACCAGATGAATCAGTCACTTTACAAAAATAATTTACAGGTGAAATGGATTGAAATAGAATTGAATTAAAAATAACAGAATTAATTGTTAAATGGTAAAGTGTCTTTTTTTCAGATAAATTTCAGATGATTTTCAGATGAATCAAAACCTTTTTGTGTTGACAATCATTGTCTGATTTCTCAGTAATTACGTTTTTTTTAATCGATTATGTAAAGAAAGAATAAGAGTAACTTGGTGGATAGTTATGCTGGTGTCTTGTCTTATTTTGATAGATAATGTTACTCAATCTTACTTCTGTCTTCACACTTCTTCTGTGGATGATACAAAACTGGACTCCACATCTTTTCAAGAACAATAAATGTTATTTTTATTAATTTATATATTTAATTTTTTCAAGTTCAGCATAGTATTGAATTCTCTAATGCTCATGTATCTGTTAGGAGCTTTTAATGAGATACTCAATTCAGATGTAATTCTATTCAAATAAARCAGGTTTTGAAAAGTACCTTTTAATTGTATAAAAAGCATTCTAGAACATGAAACAAACACTGCAGGCTGGGATTTATTTTTCAGATGATAATGGAGGACTTCATGCACAAAGTGTGAGTAAGAGAAAAAGCAGATTCAGAACTGAAGATATTTGCCCTGACTCCTACTAGTTTGTTCTAGAATGTTAACTCTTTGTTGGAAGGAATTGTTACAATGCCCTACTTTAAGGGAGWAATGGGAAGATGCTTTCTGTAGCCAGAGGACAAAAGGAGCATTTCTGACACTTGWTGTCTGAAACTTACTTGGAAACTGAAATTGTTTTGAATTTTTAAAACCAAATCTTGTTTTAAACAAGCCACTGTGCTGTATCAAGATCATCAGTCTCATGTGGTTGATATGTTTTCTAATTTTAATATTAAGAATTATGAACACAGCTGTTGACTAAATATGTTTAGTGTAGCGATATTTTAGAAATGGATATGAAGAATGTTGCGTGTAGTTAATATGGAACCATTTACATGTCCAGATCGCATATATTGACATAGTTCTAATGACACTGGTCAAGTTTTAATTAAAAAAAAAAAAAAGAAAAAAAAANNAAAAAAAAAAGACGATCAAAACACCTAAGTTTTGACCAAAATGAAAGGCTCTGTGCTTCAGTGGAAAATACAGAAGAATACTACATTTCAGTACGAATTGTCACTTTCTGTAGACTGCAAATTTTTGACTCAAGACTGAGTTTTTACCTTTGAAATTGTCATCTTTCTGATGCCTGGCTGTTACTGTCATATTTAGCAGTGAAGACTGACTGCCGGGCTCCTGTGCTTAAACTCATGAGTAGGACTGTAATGGAAAGGCTAAGCCAGTCAAGTGGATTAACATTCTTAAAGATTACTCCTTTAACCAGAGATCATACGGYCTAGTTCAGCTCCTCCAAGTTCTGCGGACAACTCTTACAACAGTGGGAGTGTTGCTAAATAAGGAAAAGCCTTAGGATTTGTCAAATTAGGATTCCAGAAGGTTAGACATCAGGTAGCGGAAATTGCATTTAGCAGGAATCCTTCAATGTCCTACAGGCATGTTCTTTATAACACAATGTTAAAAAACATATATATATATATATATTTATATATACACACACACACACACACACACACACACACACATATATTTTTTATATATATATGAAATGAAGATATTCTCTCTCAAATGTGTTGTGTGTAGTACTCTGGGTAAGAATTCACTGTCACTGAGCTAGGTATTGGTTAAAAGGCAAAGAAGTTATTTTTGTCAGCCTTCTTGTGTACAATACATAACTGGAGGCTACATGTTAATTCAGAGTAGTAGCATGAGAATACCTAGTTAAACTGATGTTGCAATAAACAGTGAGATTCTATAGTGTTAATTACATTGGAGGAGCAGGTTCAGTTGCTGTTTGGAAGTGCTTTTTGTTCAGCAGATGGTTAGACAGATTTATTCCATGCAACTAGGATATGGTGGTGTGCATTTGCTGTATTATTTCTGCTTTCAGCACTGTTATATCCACCTAGGGACATTCTGCAGTAGAAAATGTGTTTGCATCCTGCCAATATAATCTCTTTTGAGAGACCTTTAAAATTTGTAACGTTTATAATCCATTGAATATCATTTTGTAAACTGTAAAAATGTTATAGTCTCACAAAGATATTACTGCARAAACATCATTTGACTGAAAAGAGCTGTTTTCTTCTGTCTCACATTCTGCTGGGTTTTTAATGTGGCCCATTGTAGCAAGTATTTTACTCCCCTGCTAAGGATCCTGTCTGTCCTGTGGAATAAATCCTCTCAGAGACTGAGAGCTAAGATAGTTTGTCTCCTGTCTTAGCCCTTTAACTCTTATCTAGTAACAAATGAAAGTATTTTTTGCCAAGGTTGTCTTTRTACACGTCCATGCAGTGTATATTTCTTATTGGACAACCTTATACACACTTTTAAAGAAAATCGATATTTTAGAAATAGTTTCCTACTTGTATTTGCAGTGGACAGTCTTGCATGTTGTTTATGTAATTAATGCCTTTTGCCTTTGGGAAATACTCTTCCTGGGTGGGGCACTTTATGTTTTTCTGCTTTCTTCAGAGGATGGTCTTTGTCTTTTAGTCTCTCTTTTTCCTCTACAGAATGGCTGCTGCTGTTCTCAGGCAGCTGCTGTAACACTGATTAGAATCAATTCATTTATTTTTCCCAAATGAGACTTCAAGGGGTACAGAATATTTCCCCTAGTGTTGGAACAAGGATTTGTTCTAATCCAGTTGTCAAACAGCAGAGGAAATACCTTTTTGCCCTCTTTGTATACTTTAGAAGCACTTTTTCCCCTCTTCTGTTTTTCTAATGGAACTGAAGATGTGTGTGGCTGCTTTTCATTACCGCTGTTGTGCATCTTGACTGTTAGCAAGAATAATACACCTCACCATGGGGTAGGGTAAACATGTAGAATAARAGTCCTTTTGAATTAACTGTTATGGAAAATTCCTTTAAATCTTGTGGCACCTGATCAGATTTTTCATAGAATAATTTTGGTCCTAAAAGATACTTCATTTTTTTCCTTAATCTTTTGAAAGTATTAAAAGTAATTTGGTACTTTGCCTTTGAATTCAGTCCTTCTGCTGCTGATTTTTTTTTGTTATAAGCATGCTACCATATATCTCATGGAATCTGTTCCTCCTATTGTAAAGTTTCTTGTTTTGTGCCTTCAAAAATATATATATATGTATATATTTATATCTGTTTTTTAAACAATTGTAGGGGTCCTTCAGTTCAAGCGACAAAAGCTGCTGCTGGTACTAAGAAGCATGATCTCAGTAAGTGGAAATATGCAGAGCTCCGTGATACAATCAATACATCCTGTGGTAAGTTTTCTTCCTATCTGGAAGAAATGCATATTGTAAAACAAAGTAGCTTCTATTTCTTAATGATATTGGTTCAATTTTTAGTGTATAAGTCTGCAAAGGCTTTACCTGAAGCTTGAATGTTCTGACAAGCTTCTTGCTGTCCTATTGTGCTGCCATCAAATCATAAGGAAGAAAAATTGTCACTTAAAGCATATATAAAATATTTTGTCTTGGATATTTACATTATTCTTTGAGTAATTTTCCAAATTTCTTAAATTGGGAAAMTAACAGTTATGATGTTAATTACATATCTTTATGCTTAATATAACATTAATASCTATTGATAAAAATCTGTGTTAGAAAGTGTTTAAGAAACTCCTCTTGGGAAATAGACTGAGCTTTTAGCAACCTGTGTATCAAAGGTATAGTTCACAAAATTTTAATTTCCTTGTGTTACATCTTGATCTAAAAGCACGTACCTATTGATGACAAGCATTTAAGAAGTTTATTTTCCAGTTTTTCTGACTGCTCCTTTCTGCCTCTTTCTGTGACAGACATTGAACTGCTGGCAGCTTGCAGAGAAGAGTTTCACAGGCGCTTGAAGGTTTATCACGCTTGGAAATCCAAGAACAAGAAGCGCAATGCAGAAACAGAACAGCGTGCCCCCAAATCAGTCACCGACTATGGTAAGGAGGGAGAATTTTGTGTTTATAATAACTTGGGGTAAAATATTCCAGATAAACATTTTTAGAATAAACTTCTTTCTCTTGTTATGTTGAAGAAAATTCTTGTTTGCTTAAACTACTTTTATATTCAATTGAAGTAAATATTTTGAAAYGGTTAGAACGTGATTCATCCAGGTACTTTTAGGGTCCAGCCGAACAAAAGCCTTAGTGAGATTTCCTTTCTCATGCTTTATCCTTTTTTAAGATACAATGTTATTCTAAGCAACTAATCATGTTAAGCATGTTCTAAGCTCTAAGCGTGTTATATTTCAGGTGACTTTTCCTTTTCTTAATTCTATAAGCATTGATATTGCAACTTCTGATTATGGGCTGGCAAATTTTGTGTGGTCCCTGCTTTTGTATTAGGCTGTGATTCTGCTCATTGCATTTTCAGAAGGGTTTTTACTGTGAGCTTATTGTAAGCTTTTATTGTGAGCTTCAAAATGGTGCACGAGTGAGAATGACTGATTGCCTTTCATATTCAACAAGGAGATGTAGGAGTTATTCCATTTAACACTGCTAGACCTGAAAATGAGGTGCCCTGTTTCTGTAGTAACMCTTGCAGGATGGGTTGTTGCCTTTCCTCTTTTTCCTAGTTCAGTGATCATCTGCTATAAAATGAATCTGAGAAATGAACAGAATTGCAGTGAACAGATGTAATGATACAGCTCAGTCTTCYGTGCTCTCTTCTGGACCACAACTCATGTGTTCCTGGCTGCAGAAGGGGAGGATGAAGAAGGGGAAGCCGAGGGAGGTTGCTCYCCTCATAGTCCTATCAGATTGGGCTTAGGCCACTGTCCTGGGACAACCAGGGCTGCTGATCCCAGGTCTCGCACTCACTCTCTCTATCAGTTGTTATACAGAAGCCTCTCCTTCCCCTTGCTGAGTGTACTCAGTTACCGGAGCATCACCTGAGAGCTGAGCTTTGGAGAAGGAACCTTTGGAGAAGGAGCTTTCCTACTCTTTTGTAGTGGGCTCCTGTAGAGCCTAAGCATGTAAAAGATCTTAGCAAAGGCAGGGTCCCTAAGGCCAGGCCAAGCAATGCGGCTTCAAAAGCTTAGAAAGCTGAGGACTGAAACYGTGGGAAGAGGCTTTTCAAGTGCCTCTGCAAAGTCATTTTTTGAATTTGAGCTCCTATGTTCCATACAGAGCCATGGGTTTAAAATATTCATGAACYATAAAACACTTTATTGGTAATGGGAAATGTTAAAGAATGTAACATTCTTGGAATTGTACAAATAACAGTTGCAATATCCATGTTTTCATGATACTTGGTTTAGAAAGCACAAACTTACAGCATTCTTTTCAGCATTTTTCTGCTGGATTTTTTTTTTGCATTTTCTTGAAACACGGCTCCATATTTCTGCAGGAAAGCTGGAACACTGCAGATGACAGGAATATAGTAACATACTGATAGTGACTTTTATAGACTATGATTAAYGTCAAAGAGAATTCTTTCTGTTGTGAGCAACTATACTACATAGGTATTATACTTCTGCATATTATAAACATCCTAGAAAATAGTGGGGGAAATATGTTTCAGGTAATGTGACTTCTTTCWTTCTTTTAACACTAATATATATATTTACAGCTTTCCATTGCTTAAAATCTTTTTTTTTTTTCTTTTCAATTTAAGAGCTAAGCACTGGCCTGTGTATGATTATTAGATTGGATAGATTTGATACTAATAAAGACTTGGAAATTAAAGTCTTTTATTTTCTAATAGAAATACCAGAATTTGAAAGTACTCTGTTAAATAGCTAGTAGATTGGGTGCAACAATCTAGTTGCTTGCTTGACAGGTGAGTTTTTTGTAGCAGGTCATGTGAATTATTGGATAGTCATTTGTAAAAATAAATCCTGACRGTACTAAAAGCAGTTGGGAATCTATGGAAGATGAGAAAGGAGACGTTTTATTCATGTCAGCAGAAAATGAATTCAGGTAATTAGCTCAACAGCCTCATTTCATTTTTTAACTAGAAATTCAATTTGTCTGTGATCAGCGTTGGTGAAAACCATTGAGGCGATGACTGAAATAGGATCAGTGCTTTTATATTTTATTCAACTTGTGATATTTGTTTACAGATTTTGCATCATTTTTGAACAACTCAAGTAAGTTGGGAAATGGCTTTTAAGCCATGGCTTCTTAAGCTAACTTTAAAGAATAGGAACACTCAACAGCTCTGTACTAACTTCATTTATCCATTGTTTTGCTACATATATACATAAAAACTAAATTGTTAAAATAGAATGCTGTATTACTATTTTAATTATATATTCAACTGATGGTATTTACATGTTACTCTAATGTATTTTACTGTGTATTTACTGGATAGAGATCCTATCCATCTGGGCAGTCATGGGAAGGGAGAATGATATAACCTGAGAGAATGATATGAGGTTATTTAAGGAGAAAAAGCCATCTTTCTCCCTCACCCCAATTAAATGCTCTTCTAATTCTAACTACACAAGCTTATTTGGTGTAGCAAAACTCTGGGATCAACTTAACAGCTATTTTCCTAGCACACAGACTAATGTTCAGGTGAAGGTTTCTTTCTGAATAACAAAATTAGCASCGAGAAGTAGCGGCTCCATTGGCTGCTTAGTGCTCCCAGCTTCTAGATTTCCTCCCAAGTGTAGTTGCATAAGAGTAGAAATGGGTCTTAGCAATTGCCAGGGCAGTGCAAAAARTTTTTGCTAGTATTAAAGCATTGCTGTGTTAGATGTTCAGTTTGCAGAAATAGAATTAATTTCTGCAATTATAGTTTATGTCTCCATAAAATCTTTATGTATCAGTTTCATATGAAACATGTTCTCAGAGCTGCTGAACAAAAGCAGTATTCACATAGAAAAATCTGTTTTGTTCTTCAGCCTTATATTTACGTGGACATGAAAGAAAGTTTGAGTGTATAATGTATCTATTTTTAATATACCACTTTTCAGCTCTAGAAATTTGCTTTTTCCTGAATGTGAATAAAAACAATTTCAAAGGACACTTGTAGTCTATTAATCTTATTCGTAAATGTAAAAACACATTATTAAAAGTGATTGTCATTTTTCATTTTATTAATTTTAACTCTTTGTTTTGTTACTTAATAGACAACTGACAAAAAGGAAATAATTTTCTTACCCTCACTATAATGCACTGAACTACTAATACTGCTGGTATAAACCACTAAAATGAGATTTCTTTGAAAAGCTTTTGCAGGAGGCAAGTCTTTAAGGAAACAATCTCAGTCCAAAGCATTTTCTATTCAAAATTGATTCCAATGCCATGTTTGCAGCTAAGGTTGATGGTTTGATGAGCTAACCAAGRCAGAGTTATTTGCTTTTCTTCATCAAGAAGTGTCTCTCATCTCTACATAGTTTGAAATAAATCTGTGGGACTCTGTGACAGTCCAGAAATGCTTATGGGAAATGTTCTACCAAAAAYAGATATGAAGGGCTTGGTGGTCTCCTGTAGAGGTTTGGTCAGTGGATCTTAATGTCTGAAATAAACGCATTTAAATAAAGAAGAGAACAGCCAGAATGTAGCACATAGAAATCAAGACAGAAGGTTAATTTTGATTGTTGTTTTGTTGTAAGCAGGATATGTTAACATTTCTATTAGCAGTTTAGCTAGTAACATRATTGTGTTGACTGTCAAAAAAATCTGTTTTTAAAGGCTTTGCTTTTTGTTTTATTTTCTATCTAAAACTGGTTCTTTGCGCAGTGCCCTTGTTTCACAAAGAAATAGACTGAACTAGACCAATTATTGATTAATATTTCTGTYTGGTAAGGGGTTAAATGTAGAAAGTTATGCCTTAAATCTGGCTTTAAAGCAGAATGAGATATTTATTCACCCTGTTTCAYCTCAGTGAACTTGGGACCAGGGAGCAGCCTGGTATTCCAGGTAGGAACAGCAGTTCAACGTGAGCATTTTTCAGCAGCATCGTAGTTGTAGTGATTAGAAGAAGGCTCATTCAGTGAGCCTGGGATGCTTTGAGACTTTTGGATAACTTTGCACTCTGGGAGAGTTGTACTTTGCTGATGAATTAAGCACCTTTCTGTTGTTTGCTCTTTGGTGTAACAGCTCAACAGAACCCAGCAGCCCAGCTCCCGGCGAGGCAGCAGGAGATGGAAGCTAACCGGCAGCAGCGGTATTTCCGCATCCCCTTCATCCGCCCCATGGACCAGTACAAGGATCCCCAGAACAAGAAGAAGGGCTGGTGGTACGCGCACTTTGACGGGCCCTGGATTGCCCGCCAGATGGAACTGCACCCGGACAAGGCCCCCATTCTCCTTGTAGCTGGTTGGTATTGAAAGCAGGTTTCAAATGCTGGGCATGTTAACACGTTTTAAAAGGAGGACAAGGATCCAAGTTCCCCAAGTCGTATCTTGGTTGGTTTTAACCAAGCATTTAACTCAGCATTTTTCAGCTTTTTTCTTTCAATGACAGAAAGTGGTAATTTGGGACTGGCGTGGGTGGTGGCTAAATGGTGGTAAGACCCTTTGGAGGTGTAACAGGTCACGAGTGTTGTACTTTGCATGTACTTTGACACTTCCTGCTTTGATTTCCTGGATTAAAGTTAGGTGAGGGTTGTTTGATCATTAACCATCCTCAGGTTATGCACTGAGTTGGAGACAGCGTGAAGATAAAAAGTGGTTATAAACTTCTTTCGGGAAACTTTTACTCCATAAACTTCTTTTGGGAAACTGTTACTCCTCTGTGCATTAGAAATTTTGTCTGTCTGAAAGATGGTGCTAATAATCACCGTAGTGATCACCAGTGCTGCTTTTACRCCATTTATGCTGTCAGGTATAGGAGAATGGCTTGTTAATCTCAAGTATTTAAAATAAAAGCTAAATGTATGAGTGGATGATAGTGAAAGATCTGGTGTTGCAAAACATCTGCACTTGTCTGCAAGATAATTGAAGGAGGAAGAAAAAATGGAAAAACTTTCTGCTTACAGTTTTTGTTTTTAACCTAACGGAAAAAAAAAGGCTACAAACTGTTAGAATGGTCACAGAACAATGCTGTAACCACAGAAGTGCCCCATCTTTCTACTAATTATTTTTAATAGAAGCACCTGCACCATAAGCAGAAGTAGGGCTTCGTTGCTATCCTGAGTGCCCCATTCAGTGCAAATGAGAGGACTGTGCACTCCTCTCATCGGACTCCACAGGGGCTGCATTGAGTGTGTTTGGCACAGGGGTCTGACGGGTTCAGATGCTGGCAATAGGATCAAAGGTCTAATTTTGTGGACTTTTTGCTGTGCCTAAATTCAGTGCTAATTACAACAGTTCAGTAGCATATTTAAAGGAAATGTAGTGAATTTCAAGAGAATGTCTCAGGACAGAGATTTTTGGCATCTCTCTTTTACTCCCTTTTCTTTGTTTTTTAAGCAGTTTGGCCAGATGAAATCGTGTTAGTTTATTCTGAAAACATCTGTTACGATGTTGCTCTGTGTAAAAACCCATCTGAGGCCTGTTTTTCTCATAAGCTCTAAAATCTGCTGACAAACTACAGCTTGAGAGAGGAAACAAACTGAGGATCTAATCTTTGTTAAGGGAATGTTTAAATAACATAACAGCCTCACGTGCCTTTTGTTTTTGTTCCGTAACTGTTCCAGGTAAGGACGATATCGAGATGTGCGAGCTTAACCTTGAAGAGACTGGCTTAACGCGCAAGCGAGGGGCTGAAATTTTGCCGAGGCAGTTTGAAGAGATCTGGGAGCGCTGCGGGGGCATCCAGTACCTGCAGAAGGCCATCGAGAGCAGGCAGGCTCGTCCCACCTACGCCACTGCCATGCTGCAGAACCTCCTGAAATAGGCGCCGCCGGGCCGGCCCCCTCGCCCGCCACACAAAGGGAAGAGCCGCCCTGCGCTCCGTATTCGGGCTAGACGTGCTTACCATAAAGTGAACAGGTTTTCTAAATCATGTGGATTGATCATTTGTACTTTCTGAGGTTTCATTTGTGTAGTGAGCTTACTAGCTACGTGGCTCTTGCAGAAGTTTCGGTCATTGCAGTTTGTTGTATTCTGTTTAGAAGTTGCGTTGTCTTCACAAGTTTCTGTCGTGGCTCTTCACGTGCTGTACCTGGGGCACGTGGTGCAGAGAACTGCATTGCAACCACCTCTTTGCAAAATCCCTCTTTAACACACTGACTATCTGGCTTTAAGTGGTGGCCTAGTAAAGAGGATATGTTGGAATTGTGAGGCCTTAGCTTTGACTTCTGTTCCTGAGAAGTTGGAGTATACTTTTTTTTTATGATCTGAGACATTTTATGTCCTGATTTGAAAACTGTTTCGTGTCTGTATTTACTGACTTTTTCAGAAACTGATGGGAAATCCTCTTAGACTCATGAATTCCTGCTTAAATGCATCCTCTGTCTTGGCTAAAGAGAAATGTTTTTCTGTACATTCTGGGAAGAGTGTTGATACATGTCAATACATATAATATTGGAGGTACTCAAAGAATGTACTGCTCACTAGGGCTTATACCACTTTTCTCTTAGGGATTTTTATTTTTAAGTACAGATTTCCACTAGATTTTTTTTTTTTTGGACCAAATCTCCATTAGGAATTCTCAGATGTTTCATTTATCCAGGTAGTGTAATTTAAATATATTATGCAAAATTGTCCAAGGTTTATAGCTGGAGGCATGTAAGATTAAGGATAGCATAAGGGAAGTATGTTTAATTTTTTGGTGGTAGYGTAAGAACTGAACGTTGAGGTCTGAGCCTCAACCATCCTTTTTATTTTAATTCTAATGAGATGCACAAAGTCTGCAACTTCTCTTAGAGTGTGTAAAAATCCAGCCAATAACGTAATGCACCACCTAAATGCTCTGTGCTGATTGAAGTAGCTACAGTTTTAGTATACTGGAATTCCGTAGTGATTCAGACACTGATCTTTACCTAATATCTTCTGTCAGGTTTCATAGTTTGTAAGTTTCCTTATTTATCAGTAAGAGTTTTTGTGGACAGGAATTATTAATTTCATACAGTTATTAAGAATCATTCACTTACATGGGTCTTTCACCATGATGGCCATATTTCAACAAATGAAATGTGATAGTTATAATCTTTCCAGTAAGATTGAACTATAAAATAAGTAGCTTGATGTCCAATTAAATATTCAACCCGATTGAAAAATGAGGTTTGGTTCTACAGAGTTACGAAGTTTGTTGGCACTAACTCATTTCCTCTCAGTTTGAAACGTTTTGGAAACTCTAGTCTTTGAATGCATACATAGACTTTATTATTAATTTTCCAGAGGTGACAGTTCTGTAGCACAGTCAGAGGAAGCTGTTGATGCTCGTGTTCTTGCTGACCTTAGATCGTGCCTGCATGCCACAGTCTGCCTGTTGTTCAAGTTGCACTCCTWTATATATATTATATGTATGTGTATAAATTACTTCATATATATGAAGACAATTGAGTAATGCACTAACTCTGTATCCAGGGAGTTGTGGCTTTCCTGAACTGTGTGTTTGCAAAGTGGGTCTCGCTGTGTAGCCAGTACTTGCAACCCARCAGAGACATCTTCCCTATAACCCACGCACGCTCCTCACTGAGGCACTGGTGTTTGGCTGCGAGGGGAGGGATGTGGCATCTGGCTGCTGCACGGACCTGTGCGATGTTGTGTGGGGTTAAAGGTGCTACGTGAGTAGCTTCATCCCTGCTTCGTGCTACCGAGTTGGAAACCAAGTCTTGGAACTTCTGGTCTTTCTSTGTAAATTCTTTTTTTTTAAATATCGGCACTGCAAGAAACTATGGCCATGAATGTTGGGCACAAGGAAGAATCTTGAGCACTGAACTGATAGGGCTGAGGAGCTTCACCCYGTTTGTGTTTATCTGCATGGAGGGTCTTGTCTTGCTGTGTTCACTGCAGTACAGTCTCTTGTGTGCACCTGGGGGGAACCTACAAAAGAAGTCCAGTCTGTTGCACTGAGCATGTCAGTATTTCCTTGACGCAGACTGTTTCTTCATAGTAAGTTACCAGCAGGTAGACGTCAAGAGGCAATTTTRTTTTACAGAATGGTGTATATAAGTCTTGAGGGGTAACTTAAGTGACTGGCAACTACGGTGTTATCCGGAAAATAGGTTTGACAGTGAAATAGTGGGAGAGGAACCTGGTAGCTACCTATTGGGATGGGAGCTGGTCCCCACGGCCGCCGCAGTGGCAGCGTGAGCAAGACGAGCAGAAGCTTCTTTCCAAAAACAGGGGTGTTGAGGTTTGTGCAGCAGCAGGCATTTATTCCAGTCCTTTAAAAGCAGCCTCTTTTCCTGGTGTTGCTGCCAGCTGATCTTTTTGTGCAATATAGTTAATTTTCAGTCCATTTCAGAATTATATTTTCATGTGAGGCAGTAGTCAGCTGCCTAGAGTCTCCATTACCCTTTGTGCTGCCTCAGGTAGGGTGATGCTGGGGGTTGAGCTTGAAAAAATACAGTAGGTTTATCATGTTCTATAATGCCCTTTTGAGCTACACTTGTAGAGAGCATTTTAGTTTTAAAGTACAACGATGAGGTAAATATCTTGTTTTGGTTCTGTGTGTTTGGTTTCTAAAAGCAACATTTCCTCCCACTTCTGAAGTGAAGCTCTCCATGGTAGCTGCTACGTTCTTCTGCCTAAAACACTCCAGAAAACAAGAGAATCACGGGGTGGGGTTACATTCCTGAGTTGATAACCTAAGAATATAAATAYTCTGAAGAATGTTACTTCAAAGACCATAAGGTCATTAAATACGTGTCTTTCATCCWCTGATGAGATTGTATTTCTTTTCTAATTAAATCCATTTTTTCCAACATTTTTAAAGTATTTAAATGACCTCCTAATGTACTGAAAAATTAAAAAAAAAGGCAATAAATAAATACATTCCATGTTGAAATCTCTCCTGCTTTTCTCTGTGCAGTTTGTCTTTAAGGATTGAAGGTGTTGTAAGTAAGAGTTTATTAAATGATGGGAAGGAAATGTTTGCATGGCCTTTTTCTCAGGTGGCTATGGTAATTAAAGCTGCTCTAGGCCAAAATTTTAACTTCAGTGTCTCTCTGAAGCAGCATTCTGTTATTAAGAATTTCTAAAATTGTTACCTTAGTCTCATATCAGTTTTTTTTTTTTAATTCTTTTTATTTTCACTATCACCATGAGACTTTTTTGCTGTCCAGATTATTATTTACTAGGCTGTTATTGCTTCTTTCATTTGGGATTTATGACAGTGTRGCTAGGAAGCTACTTAGGATCCTTAGAGCTTATAAGGTGCAAGAAATGTTTTTTTTCTTCAAAAAATATTCTAGTCATGAAACTTTACTATTTCAAGGTGCAAATCAGAGTGATGTCTTTCAAATTTCAGATGATTAAAGAAATTCAGGTTTTGATACCTACTGACTACAGTTCTCCATCATTTTCTTTATGCTCTTTATTTCCACCAACTTTTAGTGTTTTTTTAGCGTGAGATTAAATAACAACTCAATAACCTGTGAAATTTTCAAGTAAATAGTTTTATTATATTTTATTGAAATACAAAAGGCTTACATCCAGCAAATATATTTGGTAATTAATAGTTGGGCATGATAAATAGTCATGAATAATCATCATTAAAATACACATTTAAAAATTACCTTTTTTACCTGACTAATGCCATCTGGTATTAATTAGAATACACTAAGCACATACAGAATATACAGTTGTAAGGGAAATGAGAGAATGCTTTCAGCATTCCCGACTTACACGAGCTAATGTTTGTTGGCAGGGAGGACTCAGTGCTCTGCAAGAAGTAATTTTAAAGAGAGGCTCTACTCTGAAGTGTTACTAGGTAAGACTGCATCTGCAGTTTCTGGGTTTTTTTTTTTCTTTTTTTCATATTTCTTAGTTAAATATATCAAAAATATTTTAGCTGTGGAACTTCAGCCTTGGTTTCGTGGTGAATTGCGTTCACTTGTGCACACCCACCCGTTCTGTTGGTTCTGCGTGCAAAACTGTCAGTGCAGTTGCCTGTCTGGGATTGAGAAGCAGCTCTGCTGAGGGGTAGGTAAGATGGTAAAGCAGAGTTCAGCCTCTCCTGTGCTATTTGTGCAGGTCTAGCTGTTAAAATTGACAAGTTGAAATTGCAAATGCAATCTCTGGAACTGCAAATGCAGGTGTTGGAGCTGCAAATACAAGCACTGCTCTGCAGCAAGCGGCAGCCGGAGGTGACGCAGCCCCCAGGCCACACACACAGGAAAGAGACTCGAGCAGCAGAAACGCTTAAATCTGCATCCACTGAGCAACTGCTAAGCCTATGAAGTGCTTAACGGCCACCGATTGCCTGCTGGGATTTCTTCTACAAAAAAAAAAACAAATAGTAACCTCTCTAATTTCTTGGTGTGTATGCTGAGTTTTAGGCGTGCGTGCTGTGTGTGAATATGTAATCAACTTGCTGCTGGGAGGGTGGCTGGGCATACAAATCTCTTACSTTTAAATGAACAAAATTGCAGATGTTTTGCCTTTGTAAGAAGTGTGAAGTCTTGGGCTAAGAGTGTTTATCACCTGAACTTAAGCAGTGAAGTGTGTGTGTGTGTAGAGGGGGAGAGTGTGTATGAGTGTATATAAATATATGCATATATATATGTATGTACACGTGCGCACRCACAAGCACAATGTTAACAGGAAATTAACAGTGATGTTCAGAGAAGCCATTTGAACAACCTACACGTTCACTCACACACTCGCTAAAACCCCAGCCAGTTTGGGATTTGTACGTTTTGTGATGGGAGTTTCGTGAGGTGAGAATGAATGAGGCCTGTTTGGTCAATTAACAATGGCCCTTGCTAATGACAGCTCTTGTTTCAATGCTTACCGCTTGCACTGCCCCAGTGTGAGTGTAGCTGTTAATGAAATGGTGTAGAACTGCCTTAGAGTTTCAGCTACGCCGTTACCAGACTGTTTGTGACTTACAATATTGCAGAGTGTCTCTTGTCAGCAAGATCTGTTTCTAGCACTAGACTCTTAAATAAAAATACAAGTAAGATATATAAGCTCTGTATGCTTAATGCATGCATCTTGACATTGGTGATTGATAACTGGAAAATTTTAAACATGGCCAATTAAGTGTAGTTTTCCTTTAATGAAACAATGTGTTTCATATAGATTGAGTTTTCTCTCTAAAATTGTGAATCTGTAGTAATCCTTGAATTTTCTCATGCGTAATGTAACCTGAAGGTCCCGTCTTGAATAATGCAGGCATCCTTTTTATGAACACCTGGAAGAGAAACTCTCATAAGACATTTAAAAAGCATTTTTGCATTTTAAAACGTATTACTTATCTGCTGTTAATAGGCACGATCTCGCTAAAATCTGTTCGACTAATTTCCAGTTCATTCTAAGGAAAATCGAGTTCATCCTACTCTTGAGGCTATTTTACATACCTATTTTTACACAAGTCATTGAGTTTACAGCACAATTATTTTTCCTGTCTGGTACAAGTGCTGTATTTTGCCAAGTATCACACATTTCATCATAATTTGAAGGGCATATTTTTGCCCATAAAGTAATTAGTAAAAATACAGAAACACAATGGTACTGCAGCATGCATATTTTTAAACTTGTTGTCTTCTCCAGTCACTTTTACATATTCCCCTCTGGAACTCTCATTCATGTTGTCTTTCCCCTGTGACTGTATCTGAAACTCTGATACTAATGGGATGGATGTTCCTTGTTGAACCTTGCCAAATAAGGCCTTGGTAAAGAAGTCTGTTCACTCTAAATGCCATTTGTGAGTGTGAACAGGTAACGCACAAAATAGCATCCAGTCGATGGACTGAAAAAATAAATTTTCCAGACAACTTGTCCTAAAATGCTTGCACCTGAGCATGGTCTGTTTTAATTTTTCAGCACCCCAGTCTCTGAACAGTGGTTCTACAGCACAGTCACTCAGGGGACAGTGGTGGTAAAACAGCTTTTTTTTTTTTTTTTTTTTTTTTTTTAATACCCTTTCTCTCCTGGTAAGTGCTGCATTTTGCATAAACTCGAAAGAGCGTAAGGGATGTGTGTAGGTGACTGGAGCACCAGAGAACCAGACCTATAGGATCATCCGTAGGGAAGTCGGGCTTGCCTGGTTTTTGCCTTCCCACATGATGTGGGTTTTTTGCTTTCTGTCTCAGTCAGAATCTGCTTGAACGTGTGAATTCTAATTGTCACATTTTGCTTTGGCTCAAAGAGAGAGAGACTCCCATGATTGTTTTATTCTCCCCATTACATGCTACTTGCTGAGCAAGATACAAAATGGTCCCAGAGGGACCATTTCGACTGAGCTCACAGAGAAGGAAGAGTGAGTTCTGCTCATGGACGTGGAAGATGCTTCCTGTTAATCCTGGTATGACTGGGTATGATCTTTTTTCTGTTTGTTTTCTGAGAACTAACTGGGAATCTATGTAGTGGCCCTATAACTGAAATGGAAGCATTTTTCACGTTTTGGAAGGGGTATAAAGTTCTTTTAGTTTCTACTGGGATTCAATGTTTATTTTCATATATTATTTTATAAAATTAGAATTTTACCTACCTTTTAGGACACCTTGACTACAGTAAGGTGTTATTTACACATTGGAAAAGAAAATCAAGATCATTTAAAGATCTAGGCTGAGACTTTCAACTTGGTTTTAAGAGCTTTAGACATCCAACTCCTGAAAATTCAATGCCATAACAATCCCACCCCCAGGGAAGCTTTCCTGACTATGAATTGAAACTGTTGCTCTTAGTTTCAGTATTTCCTCAACAAGATCTTGTGAAGGGGTCTGTCAACGTACTTTGGGCATCTAATATGGCCCAGATTGCGACAACACAGTTTCCTACCACAGCTGTTGTGCTAAATAATTTTTATGCTAAGGTATTTAGTGCTTTAGAAAGTAGTAATTTAAACTAGTTCCACTGGTATAAAAGTGAAGGTTTATTGGGAGAGAAGCTAGTTCAGTCTCAAGCCCTTCCGACCAGCTCGTCCTTGCTGACCTGTAAATCTCTTCATCGTGTTCCCGGTCCCCGTCTTTTCACCAGAGCCTGAACTCCCACCTGGAGCACCCCAAGAGACCAGATCCCGGCAGGAATCCCCTGGGTCAAGATCAGCGCAAATAAATTGCTCTCTATGCTGTGAATTACCTGCTTCCTTACTTGCCTAAGCAGGGCTGTGCCAGCTGCAGCCAGTATAATAGCCCCATATCCTGTCTCCCGGGATCTGTACCGAGAAGTGGGCAGGCATGTAGGGATATGGGATAACAGCTCTAGGAAACTCTTCTTGTTCTAGCCTGGTTGTGACTCAGGACAAGGCAGAGAGCAAGAGAAAAGCTTTTTGTCCAGCTTCTAGGGAGCTCAAACAGAGCACAGCTAAGGCAGGTTTGCAATTCAAGAGAAATTCTTGACTCGGGTTTTCTCCCTCTTTCCCTCCCACCTTCCCCCCAACAGAAAGAAAAGTCTAAGAGTCCCATACTTGAGACAATATGTTTAAGGTGTCAGCATTATACAATATTCTCCTCAAACTGGAATTCSTACTTGTTTGAATACTATGTAGCTTAAGCAGAGCTGCTTCTTTTTAAATGATCCGTTATTACAAATAAAACTTACCCTTTGATTTTCTTTTTAAGTTTCAATTTCATTATTTCAGATATGAATATGATGAATACTAATTATGTGAATATGATTATGGCAGAACAAAACTCTGCATAAATGCCCTTCATAACAGATAATCGCTGTCACAGCAACCACCTAAACAAAAGTGACCTTCAGCAGAGGAAAGAAAACAAATTCGCACCCCACTTTTTTTTTTTTTCAGTTGTGAATGGAGTTTGGAGGTAGCCCAACGAGGCTTCCTGGTAGTAGCTGTAAATAGGAAACTCAACAGAACTTGAATGTCCTTGAAAAYAGCGACAAACCTTGTTTATGTCTGTCTGATGCTCAAATTGCAGAATTTCAGAATTTCAGCGTGTTACTCTTGTCTCTGTAAACTGGTCTGGTGACCTGCAACAGTCAAAAATGCACAAAGTTAATTATTTCACAAAATCAGCAACACCGCACTTCCAGGTTGGCCCCCAAGCCATGCAGAAGAGCTGTAACAAAGGCAGGTCTACAATTCTGTTAGGCAACCCACACAGCAGTAACTGTAAAAAGTAAACATATGAGTTAGTATTTTTAGTTCTAAGATTGCCAAGCAAGAGGTTAAGTCAAATTTGTTTTAGTTGTGAAGTTAGTAAATGGAAATGGACCTCTTATTTGAGGTGGGGCTGTTTGCTGAGGGGAAAGGAAAGGATGTGCATGCATTTTACCTTCACACTGAATTGTGTTTTCAAATGTGTATAATGCTCCTTGATCAGTGATCTCTGAAGAACTGACACGAGCACTTACGCTACAAGCCGTGTGAGAAAAGCTAGTTATGGGTTCATCGTGTTCAAAAGCAGGATTAATTCTTACAGCGTTTTCTGTATTGCAGCTGTTGAAGGTAGGACTTCTACAATGCAGAACATTTTTGTATACGTAAGACTTTGAATTATAAAGAAAAAAAGGAAAATTTCAAAGTGTGAAGAAAAAGATCATGATCAGCTTACTCCAAATTAGAGTTTCTTTTGCATTTTCTTCTTAACTTAAAAATTAAAGTGATGAAAATAAAAAGAAGGCTTAGTAAGCCAAAAATGACAGGTTTGAAAATGAAGGGCTGTGTGGGTTCTGGAGCAAATTTTGCACAGCGCTCTCCTTGGTAAAGCTTGTGTCTGCGTACGGGACATCTAAAATAGGGAGAGGAAGAGAGAAATATACAGAACTTCAGGGCAGAAAATACAGAGCACCTCCACTGAAAATAAAGGAAAATCTGTAATTAAATATAAGCATGGTATGATAAAAGACACAAAATATTCTTAGATTCATATATGTTGCTGTTAATAACAAGGCCCTAATATATTCTTTCTCCACCTCCAAATTTTAAGCAAACCAGGCATCCGGAACAACTTTGGCAAGTTCCTCTCCCTGTAATGAAACAGTGTTTGTGTAGTAGCACCCTGGAAGTTCAGAGGTGCCYTGGATTGCTCCGTAAATGTGATGTCTTTGCCACTTGTTCTGTTTCTGTTCAACTAGAGAAGCAAGATCTAAAATACGAGTTTTGCTCAGAGGAGCTTCCCTTATGGCAAGGGAGAAGTCTGCCCTACTAGGTGTGAGAACACAGGGTTTCAAGTTTAGTGAGGGAGAATCCTAGTGTGGTTCTGAGTAATCTACAGGCAAAACAAATACTTGACTAAAGCAAATGCTTCCACTGCAGGTTGTAATTTAGTTATGTGCAGATTGCGCAAGTTTGCACAAGTTGTCAGGTTGAAACTGATGCTAAATTATTACAATCTGGTATAAGTATTTTATTATTTAATCTGGTATAAGTATTTTATTATTTAATCTGGTATTAGCAGTTTATTATTTAAAATACTTTTACCTCTACTATGTCTGTGTCCTGCCTGTAAGATGAACCATTCTACAGATGCATTCAGGACCTGCCAGAGGATGGTTTGGCAATTACATTATCTAAGCCAGGGATCTCCGAAATGGAAAGATTTTTTTCTTAGTGTGTTTAATTTGGAACAGCAGTCTATAACCTTTGAAGTTTTTAACGGGCCCCCTTTAGATCATAGACTCATTACTAGTAAAATGGACTATTGCTGCACCACCGTGACTCTGAAAATCAGGAATTCAACAGTAACTTCAGCAAATAACATCTTCCAGTATCTTTTCTGTTTTGCCCACTGCAGAAAATAATTTGTTAGAGTGAAACTACCATACGCAGAATTTGTTCAGTAGTCATCTTGTTTGAAATTAATTCTGAATACTTTAAAAGATATATCATTAATCTACGAATACTGGTATTAAAAGAGAATGAGCAAATACAGAGATTATTTAACTTGTCACTCGGGCAGCCTGTAGTACAGAGCTCCACGTTGGCTCTGCATGGTCTGGTCTTAAAGTGAGACGACTCTTGATGTTTTTGCAGGAGAATCAATGTGTTCAGGTATTATAGCAGCACTTTATACTGGCTTAATGTCACTCCTCATAAAAGCCCTTCTGGGATCTGTTTGCAGTTGGGAGCAGCTGCTAATCCTTAGTGCTTTCCTGAAAAGCTCCAACCCTGCAAGCAGTCTCAGCCTTCACGTGCTTTACTGGCTGGCCTGGAGTGAGAACACAGTGATGTTCATAGCTAGGTTTAAAAGAATATAGATTTCCTTTTTTGCTTAACTCAAAAAAGCTTAATTTCTTAAAATTATACTATTCAATCAATAGCAAAAATGTGAAGATGTTATAATTTTATTTTTCCAAGAAGTACCTGGGACTCTGAAAGGAACGCATGATTTCATACTTGTCATCTCTGCTGGTGACACTCAGTTTCTAACTAATGAATCCTCTCTAATGAATCTCAATAAATAATTAGATCACAATGATCTAGAAATATTAATTGACCAAAATTGCTTTATCCATAATGAATCTATTTGTGTTGAGACAGGGCATAACCAAGTAGCCTGGAGTGTCTGATTCCAGACTTGGTTTGTTAGCAGGTAGTTTATGCTGCTTAGAAGTGCACGCTCAGCACCGCTTCTTCACCCGCCAGCCTGCGTTCACGTCACCGAGTTACCTGCAGACAGCTCCTGTTCCTGGGACCAGCTCGCACTTGCCTCCGTTGACGCAGAGCTGCGGCTCCATCTCGCAGAGGCTCYGGCAGGGCAGCCCGTCCCGGCTCGCGTAGCCCGGCTTGCACAGGCAGTCGGCCTCCTTGCTCCACTCGTTGGTTACGCACTCGGAAAACTCGTCACAGGCCATGAACTTGCACGGGTCTGCCTGGTCAGCTGGAAAGGACGGGCAGGGTTAATGCCATTAACGCCCTGTGGATGCTCTGCCCCGAAGCGTTTGGCAGGGTTTGTGTGGCTAGAGAGAATAACACCAACTACCAACCTGCTACTTGTGCACGCAGACAGGGACAGCAAGCTGGTAATACAGCAAAAAAAGGGTACGTTTTTCTTTCCCCAGATGGCACAGGAGATACGAGAGCTAAAACTTTTGTGGTTTTCTTTCTGTCTCATTGACAAGGACTTCCACTTTTGGATATTTTTAATCCATTTTCACTATGAAGTGCTAGCTTTATAATACTTATAGCACTATGCTACCCTCTTACATGTAAGTAAGAAATGCAGCTCTTGCTGCAATCACCTTAATCTAATTTAGAATGTGTCCAAGAGAGGAAATTAGATTATTCTGTATTGCACAATATTGTGAGAACTGCAACCTAGAAATACTGGCATCAGCTCCAAAAAATACTCTTTTTTTTTGGACGTGATCTGGKAGCATTGGGAGAACTTGCAGATTTTATTTATTTGATGTTTTTATTAGTAAGGGATTTACAGCTTGTTAGTAAGAGATTTACTGTAGTAAGAGACTTACTGCTCTAAGTCTTTTACCCTTTTCTGATTCATACTCTCTGTGAAAATGAAGCTGCTGATGTTCAGAGTAGGGCTGAAGCCAGAGACAGCCTGAAGTCCTACCCTTCCCTGTCAGACAAGGCTAATTCTCCCTTCCCACACCCCTACTTCTTACTAGTAACGAAGGAATGACCCAACTGGAGTCATCTTAGCCCAGCTGCCAGCCCAGCCTACCTGCYGAAAAGGTGGAAAAAGTAATAGGAGGAGACTGTGCGGGGTTAAAATTTCTCTTTAAGAGTCATACTGGGTATTGCAGCTAGTATCTATATATCTGTGGGTGAGAATTCTTTTCCAGGGCTATTTCAGGGACTAAGATACTCAGTTATATTAATTTCTGTGAAAAATGAGCAGCACATCCTTTATAGCAGTGCTGGAAATCTCAAGCATGCATTAGGATATGCTAAACTGCTGGAAATTAATCCAGCTGAGCTGTTCATTAGAACTCCTCTATAATTCTATAGCTAGTTGCTTTTTTTTCTTTTGAATTTAAGACTAGTGGAAGCAATTTGAATATTCTTGCCMTCTCTTTGCTCTATGCCCTCTGCATGTTAATTTGAGATCTATTTTGCTCCTGGATTATAAATGGATTTACAAATAAACCTTAAAACAATAACTGGGCATTGCTGAATTACATTAAGTTATGAGATAACTTTATTGCCAGGCAAGCCTTTGCCTATATATATATAWAAAAAGATAATTATTCTATGCCTCATTCTGGTCATCGAAATTGCTGATGAGGAACTACAAAATGTAGTTTTGAAAGGAACAAAAATAGGTGGCAAATCAAAAGAGGAAGTTGTTGCTACACATCCCTTGCTTATCCCACAGAAAAATGATGAACACAAGACTTGGTACAATGGATTAAAATATTAACAGCAACATTCACTGCATGTCTGCTGTAATTCTCTCCCCGGTTTCCATGGTCATGGTTTAACTTCATACTGGTGGAAGCAGCAGCGCTGTGATGCTGCTACCTGAGAAAAACGGGCTCCAGGTGCGCGCGTTACCCACGGCTGCTTGCGACAGCTCTGCTGCCCTCGGAAGCGAGAGGTATCGGGGGGTTCCTTGTGACAAGCAGTGATGGGCATCAACATTTTGCTGAGTTAAAGCCTCATTTTCTCTGTGATAGTGTTTCACTTTTCTTAATGCAGTTGCAGGATGCATGCCTGCCATACTTGACACCTTTCCTGTGATTTCACTTTCTTTGAATTAAGAAAAAAAACACGTGCAGATATTTTTTAAATCCTGCTGCGCTATTTGCAACCAGCCCCTTGCAGCCACTGCTTATAAAAGACTGGGTCTTGCAATAACTTTCGCCTTGCCTGGAGTGTCCTACCATGGTAAAACTTTGTTACCACTAGATGGCTCTTATCTTCACAATAAACAGGGATTTGTTTGAATTACATTAATTAGGTTTTTTTTTTCTTTTTTTTTTCCCTTTTTTTCCCCCCACCTATATGGAAAAATGGTAGGATTCTATTTTTTTTTTTAATACTTTGACATTTTACTACTGTTCATGAAAGTTGAAAACTATATGTGAGAACAGTCTCATGTAAATTCATTGCAATATCTCCTTCTTGAATTAAAGCTGAAATACCACATCAATAAAGCAGTAGATATGGAGGTGATGAAAGATTTTTGTGCTTTTCTGCATTTGCATTTTATCAACTTTTTGGATTTATTTTTTATTTAATGAAGCTTACTGCCAAAGCAGAGGATGTCTGGTAGCCTGAAGTTCACTCTCAGACACATTCATTCCTTTATTCAACACAGTATCAATTTATCATAGCAGTATTTGAAAGTTTAAAATATTGCACTTTTATAACCCTCTTTACAATTTCTTTTAGTGACTTTGAGGAGACATGTAACATGAAGATAGATCAGCAAGTGTTGTGTCAATTATATATGGATGTTTTGTTCTGAAGTTGCTCATGATTTTTACATAAAATCAAAACTGGAAAAGGCATCTGCATGCTAAGGTAATGGCACTTTTCTTCTCCATTTCAATTAGATCAAGTTCACAAATGAAACAGTAAAATCTAAAAATTGAAGGCAGATCCAGGCTTTGGTTTTACAAAACAGTACAAGGTAAAGTCCTGACTCAACTGAATATTTGAACATACCTACATTATAGTAGTGTCAACACAATAATTGTTAGTCTTACTGACTAACAATACAGTTTAACAAGGACTGCAGACATATGGTATTTGAAAGGTAGTAGTAAGTCAGCAGGGATTCTGAAATTAGATACCTATGGAGCAAACTATAGGAGAAACCTATACAGTAGTAAAGTTGCTGGGCAGTAAATTTCTGTAGAATATAATTATTCCTAGAAATTTTCCACTTATCCTGTACTCTGTTGCACTTTGATGATGATATAATGATGCCCTAAATTTCACTTACAGAATTGAAAAAATAGTCAAATCCAATGTTTTATAAACTTGGATACAAGATTTTGCTCAATCACTCATGTGAACTGTAGAAGCACTTGTTACCCTGTCTTTTCCCAGCACTTAAAAGTAACAAGAATATGGATTCAAAAGAAATAAATACAAGAAAAAACTTTGGGGGAAAAACAATGAAAACTGCATCAAGAAGATGTGATTCCAGTACAGAAATGCTGGTGGTGGAGGTGCTCTCTGCACTGCACATAGAGCAAGTGTTTTGAGAACAAGAGCTAAACACAGGAAATCAGTAACTTCGTAGTTAAATTGCTGGGAAAAGACAGAGCAGAAAGTGCTTMTACAGTTTACAGTTATATGGTTATACAGTATAAGGTTTCCTGAAGGTAGCAGGAAATAGTTGGATGCAGATGTGGAAAAGGGAGCTTTAAACCACCAAAAAATCAGTAGCTCTTAAAATTTCTTTTGATTTTCCTCAGAAGAATGTCCTGTATAGTCCAAGATATCATTGCATGTGCATTGTTATTGTGATTTTATCTAGTCATTTCTGCTGGCATCCTGGAGATCTTTATACTTAACATGAATGTCCTGAGTTGGCCTGTCCTTCTACCAATGTGCCAGAACGACTGACTGAGCAGTTACTGATGATTTAGGAGAACAACTCACATTGTGCCCATTCGGCCTTTGGCTTTGCTACCTATTAAGAAATGTGCTCATGAGAAACACTACACCATGCAAAAACATCTGTTGGTAGTGGAATCTGCAAGATCTTTGTTTTTCATATTTCCATGTATTGCTGGGAGAAATTTGCTAACACTAGTCTTTCCAAAAGTGCCAGTGATCCTTTTGAAGATGTCGGTATATAGAAAAGGTTACTTAGATGGGTTTGATTTTGCTCAGCATTAATAATGCAACCTTACCTGGCTCAATGTCCAGGGAATAGCTGTCAATCTCCAAATTGAGGCGCTCAGCTGCAGCATCGCAGAAATCTTCCAAAACACAGTGTACTGCTTCCGTGATGTTGTATGGCACTGTTCTGGCAAATTTCATTTTGCTGTTGACAATCACGCTTCCATTCCTGAAGTTAAGTATTTCAAGTTGTTTAAAACCTGTAAGGTTGGACTGAAGGTATGGAAGTAACTGCAAAACAGAAAGTTGCATTTATTTTAACTTGCTGTTTATATCTACCTGGTATTCATTTCTCTTATAGTCACTTTTCATTATTAAGTACATATATCTATAGCACAATTATTTATATGATATTAATACAAGTGCCAAACTCCACCACCAAATTCCCATTCCTGTTTATTGCTATATTCCTCTGGACCTTTGCATCTTTCTCAATGATGTATTGAAATGGATGGGCAGCAATTTTCCCAATAATGAAGTGCACAGCAGTTGGATAGGTAGTAATTTCCCCAGTAATGAAGTGCACAGCAGTTGGGGAGTTTATTCATCCGGAATTAAAAAAAAAATCACCTCTTCCAAAAGCCAAGCTTAATTATTTTAAAATGTTCAGTCCAGGTGGGTTAGAGCACAGCATAGTAGGCGTGCTACTGCAGTGACCCGTTGCCCTATTGTACCCAAGGAGAAAATCCGTATCTAATCACATTCCTTTTGCTAAGCTATGATATATTTTTAAAGGCTTGTTTTTAAATCTAGCATAAAGACATGAGCCTTAGATGTAATCAGCATTACCATAGTGTTGACACGGATATGAGAAAAAGCCAAATGCAAGAATATGTGTCAGGTATCTGGACTTTCATATGTCTCTTGACATGTGAAACCAACTTCATAATCAGCTGCTTCAGACCCTGACAGCATCCTAGGTTTGTGTGTCCTCCCAGTCCACAAGAAACAATTAAAAACACAGCTTTTCAGGGTGAACAAAGCAGGGTCTGATATCATTAATGAATTGTGCTTTTTGGTGTCTAATTATCTGACTGAGCCAACCGGAATAGACCATCATCTTCCAGCCAAAACATCAAGGTAAGATGGTCACAAGAACCTCTGACTTACAGATAGAGAATTAATGTAACTTACTGGTGAGGACTATGCATTTTGTTAAACCATGCCCAACTACTGTATATGAGGTTCAAGTTGATTTTCACCCACCAATTGCATGAACTGTTGTTCTAGCGCTTTGTATTCTGAAGAACTCCTATTGAAGAGGTCATCGGAGAAGTGCATGTTGGTTACCCTGAGGCTGAAGAAAACCACTAGCTCCTTGCCTTTGGCTGCAGTGGTCATGGAGCTGGTAGTTACATACTTCAGCGTAGGAGCTGGGGTGGCTTCTGCAGGGTGAGTTCTCAGCACTGAGATGTACCCACTGCCGTGCTCCACTTCATCCAGGGCTGCCGTGCTCATCTCACTGACGCTGTCCACCTCGGCCGCGATATCCGGCACTCCGGCCTCAGCGCTCACGGGAGCRGCGCTGCCGGCTGCCGGCACCGAGTCCGTTACTTCGAGGGACTGGTCGATGATGAGGGACAGGCCGTGGGATGGGCTGGTCGCTGGAGGCAGCACCACGACCTGCTCTGACGGCAGCGCATCTGCAATAATATCTCCAGGCTGGGCGGCAGAGAGGTCACCGATAAAGAAAGGCAACGTTTTTGTGTGAAGGTAAGGGCTGGCTGTAACCAAAATGTCATCACCGGAGGATTCTGGTAGATCCATGATCTTAACTGCTGCAGAAAAACAGGGGAAACACAAACAGCCATTTCAAAAAGATGGTCAGACATGAAATGAGAATTACAGGTACACTGAAAGCATTTTCCACTAAAGCATTTTTAAAAACAAGCACTAACATGACCTAAACATGAAAATGTTATTGCCCATCGCTTAAGAAGAACTACTGAGATAAAAACACTCCATTCATGTGTTTGAGTGATGAGATTTCTGTGGGTGCTGCATTTAAATAATAATTACACTTGGTAAGTATTTCCTGAGCTACTCCTAAGTGCACTCTGGTTATGAAGGTACATAATCGCACTGTCGGTTTATATTGACTGAACGAGTAGATTGCAGCTTCGAGGTGTCTGCTTGGATCAGTGCAACACTTGAGTCATTTTGGTTCCCTCCTCCTCTGTGAGATGCAAAAGCTGCTATTTGTCAGTAATCACAAAATGTGGTTATGCAAAGTAGTACAGCACCTTTCGATGGAAACTGTGGCAATTTACCCAAAAACAGCAGCATCAATGAAAACAGCCTCCAAACCCTAAGAAATCATCTGCTGCACTTAAATCAGACATTCGACCCAGATGCCAAGCTTTTCTGATATTCCCACAAGAGCCTGCCATGGGTCTAGAAAGTATGATAGATGTAGCTGAAATTCCAGTCTACAGCGTGATGGCTGAGACTGAATTTGGCTGGCAGCTAACTAACTTTGGTAGCTACAAGAAAATGATGAGAAACTGGCTTCAACTTTGCACTATATACTTTTCTTTTCTTTCTTTTTTTTTTTTTTTTTTTCTCTCATCTGGAACATCTCAGACTGAAAGAGAACTCAATTATTCTAACTACTGAATAGGAATTTTCCATAGGTGTTCTTTGTTTTCCTTTCTGCTTTCTGAAGAATATGGTCCAAACTTCTATTTGTCATGGATATGTTTTAGGAACAAGCATACATTTCAAACAGAGGAAAGCTTAATAATAAACAGCCATCTGCTTTCTAGATATCAGTAATTTAATGAAATGCCCTAGTTCCCAATTTCCTAATGTGGGCTCTTTTTTTCTATATTGCCATTATTAAAGCGCTATTTTCATGATTATGTTCTTTTCCTTACTGAGGTACCATATACCTTCATACACTGGCTCAAGCTACTGTGCTTTATTTGGAGGTCATAGCCATGTCCTCATTCAGTTAAGTTGACCACACCTTTCAAAACAGATCCTTTCTTCCACAATTGTCCTGAAACACCATATGTAGTTTTAATGCAATTAAATTCTTCAAAACCATTTTTTTTCCCATCCAGTTTATGATTTTGCAAAAAGTTTTGCTAAGATAGTCTATGTTTTTCCCTTGTCATTTGTTATATTATAATTTTATATGGTGAATTAGTGATAGTATGTTTGGCTAAAACATCTAGCAAACTAGCTAATGAATAAACTACGGGAGTAGGATGTGGGAAGTTACGTTTTGGTTCTATTTCAAGTGATGCCAAAGCATTAGTGATTCAGGAAAGGACCCTGAAACGCACTACTAATCCGCAACGTCCTTATTGGGCCGAGTGCTGCATCCTCATTTACTGTGAGGCCAAACTGCCTGTGTTGCTCTGGAAACACAAAAGGGCCTTGAAGTGGTGCAGTAAATTCCCATTTAAACTGGCACAGTTGCGCTGTCTCCTTCTATTTGTGACAATGTGAAATCTGCACTGGTGCCAACGTAATGCCAGTAAATGCCAGAGTCAGACCACGGTGCTGAAGAGCACAGCAGAGCACTGCCCAACATGTYCTCATGTCTGCGGTTTTATCAAAGGTAGGGACAGATTAGAAAAGCAAATTAAAACTGCATGACTGATGCTGTCTGCTTAACAAAACTTTTGCTGTTATTTGTTACACTGATAAAGGGCATGACACATTTGGTTAAGGGAATTCACYGGTGAAGTACTTGAGACTTCAATGCAGGATGATCTGTTGGTGGGATGAAGCTGCAGCTCCCTGAGCTCTCAGCATGACAACACACCCGAACATTTTGAGGCCTAGTGGATGTGTGATCAGGATGCTGTTTGTTAGGCCACTTGTATTTTAGAAACAGGCAACCACGGGGAAAGCAGTACCAGAATTTTGAAACAGCAGCAAATATGAAGCAGACTAATCATACATATACCATAGRTTTGGAGTATAGCTGCCTAAAGCTTCCTAATATACAGAAAGATAGATCCTATAGACTACACACAGGCGATCAAAGTCTTCTGGCATTCTCTTATACACAAGTGAAGTATCTTAGAAGGCCTTGAGGGCATTAAGATCCAGAAACATTGCCCATTTTAGTAAGATGTGGATCCTGATCTACCAGTCAATGCCCCTCCAGCCACGCTAGTCGCTGACCACAGACATAATGCAGCACCAGCCCCAAAGCCTGGCTTACTGACCCGGTTTCTTGGTCACGCTTTCGCTAACGAGAGTGTCTTATTGCTGCTGCAGGGCATGCCTGCACAAGCCACCCCTTAAAAACAGCAGTGAAACAATTTGCAACCATTTTATGCCAAATTTTGTAACTGTCTACGTGAGGCTACGTAATCAAATGAATCCTGATGAATTAAACCCTATGGGTGAAATGCAAAGAAGACATAGACATTTTGAACCCCAAACATCCATTCACATTAGCATTTCAAATCCTAGTTTTATATTACTTTGAAATAACCTGGAATACAAACTATGCTTATGCTACTTCCTCATAAAGCAACTATTGCAACACTTTTCCATTATTTGCCTTCTAAATAGTATTTTTATAGCAGAAGGATAAAAAAATAACAACACAGGTAATTATTTTACGAATCCTTTAAATGCATAAACACTGAGAATTTAGGTATGTTTATATTTCATTTCAGCGCACAATTAGATCTATACCACCATGATTTAAGTGCAGTGAACCTGCAGAAAGTAGGCAACAGGATGCTGAGCTCAAATATGCTCCCGGCGTGACCATATCAAAGGTTGAACAATGTTGTGGGATTAAAAGCTGTTGTTAACAATAAAAAACTCAATTCTAACTCTCAACCACCTCTTATCCTCCTGCAAAGAGGTTCACTGAAATCTCTAGGTATTTTTGTATTACATGGATAAGGCAGGAGAAGCTTGTACTGAGGAAAGTTTTATATCAAAAGCTAAACTGCTGTTGGCAAATACCTGTAAACTCTAAATTAAGAGGCAATTTCCTGTGCAAACTGCTATATTAAATCTTTGTAAAAGAAGTGCTACATGCAGGCATTTATTCCCAGCTGAGAGAGAAGAATACAAAGGTCTGGTTTATCAGAAAAAAAAATTGACTGCAATTTTAACAGCTTTATTTCAGGTTGCTAGTTAATTTGTTGTCTTATATTTTTAAGTGAGGAAAACCCTTCTCATTCACTGTGAATACGGAATTCTTATTTGTGAAAGGTCAAATTGCCACRGAATATATTTCTAGTGACTTTGCATTTATAAGCAGGCCTGGAAGGTTGCATGTAAGGCAGCCTGGCGTTTCATTTTGCTCACGAGCTTAATAAGCACTGACATTTCTACAGGCAATGGACTACGGGAATCAAAAAGTCCCAGTTTCACTGACATTCATTGTTCTCTATACAAAGACTGCACTATTATGCTTAGATACATGTGTTTGTATATATTACAATTGAAGAAAATAACTAATCAAAGAATAAATATGCACTTACAAGATTTAAAACCAAGTACCTGAATTCTAATTCATACATTTTCTTGGTATCTGAAATGTCAKGTAAATGCTGGATGCAGGACTGCTATATACAAGTGAATAGCTTAAGGAGTGAATTTGTGTTTGAGATCTTTCATTTTTAACTGGGGTACAAGTTAGATGGGCAGTAAGAGAACTACAGGAAAGAGGATCACTGATCTAACATTTCACAGCAAAAGCCTCACCATACATAATTACCAATTAATAAGTTTACCTTTTTAAGTGTAAGAACACATGAGAAGCACCTTACTGGCGGCTGCATACATATGTATGTTTGCATGGGAGCTCCTCCAGAAGCTGTGTTTAGTGTCCAGTGCAAGCAGTGCAACAACTCCTCTACTGACTTCAGTGAACCCCTGCACACTGGAAGCCAATCCTTCATCTTCAGGCTGAAAAAAATGTGTCTCTTGATGTTCCTCTTTAACATTCTGGCTGAAATCTTTGTTTTTCTCACAGAACAGCCTGACAGGTCCAGCTCTAGCTCCAGTACCACATACTGCTCTACATAACTTCTTTTAAATGCCTTCAGTTTATTCTGAAAGCCCTCATACCCTACGAGTGTGCTTTGTCATCATGCCCTCACCACCAAAGATGCAGATAAATGTAATTCTGATGTATGATGTCATCAGAGGAGCACTTTGTATCCCAAGAAAATAATACTTAGCAGTGACAATCATCTCACATTATTCTAAGAGCACTTCCCTTCTACCTTGCACTCACAAGAGAACAACACTGAACTTGCAAAATCAGGCTTTGAAATGCTAAAGCTGCAGCATTCAAAGTACTGAACAGCCATAGCTTGCTATTCTTATGCCCATCCTTTATGAAAGATACATGATTAAAAAATTATTTATTTTTCCATAAGTACCTCTGCTTCATGGGGACAGAAGCTGGTGAACGTCTGTGAGCAAGCAGCTATGCAGTGCTCCCTCCTCGTTTCATGGGGAGTTTCAATATTTGATTTTTGATTTCTGACCCTCAATGCTAAGTCCTATGTGCCAAAATCCTTCTGATTTTGGATGTCTCTAGTAAGTTAGCCAAGCCTAAACTAGTCACCTGAGGATTCTTTCACAGTAACTGAAGGCAAAAACATATCTCTGGCAATTCATTTCACATCAAATCCATTTTTCTTTTTCCATATTTCCATATGTGTCAATTAATACATGGTATAAAAACAGTAATTCAACTTGCCATTTTATGTCTCATTAAGGATTTTATATACTTCAGGTAGCTATTTGCTAATAATTTTTTTTTTTTTTCACTAAAGGCTTTGTG